GAAATGATTACAGAAGATGGTAGGAATTACTTTTCTACAGATGTGATAACTGTATCCATGAGTAAATCTTCTTTTTCAGACAATTTGGTTTTTGTCTCTTGTGACAATTGCTTGTTTTATAAGGTCAGACTTAAGGTTTGTAATTAACAGAAACTAAATGCCTTTAATAAATTGTTCCCTAATTTAGAAAGGGATTTAAATTAATACTTGCCAGATCCTAGCAAATCTGTTACAAAAAACTTAAAAAGTTTGAACTTATTGGTGTGTATTTATTGGTGTGTAGGATTTATTATTGAAATCAGTAAGTCATAAGACTTGTACAAAACCTTTGTCATCCATTTAATGAAGAGGCAACATTTTGTTTTAAAAATTAGACATTCCCTTTTTGTATTTTGTTTCATGTAGCATCCAACAATTTACTTTTTATTGACCTAAATTCAAAACTGAATGAAACAGATTTTACAAAGCAGATCATTGATATTAAATGTGGTTAACTTGCCTCACATTTTTTTTTAATTTTTAAAATTTTTTTTTGCTTTTTGGGTCACACCCGGCGATGCACAGGGGTTACTCCTGGCTCTGCACTCAGGAGTCACTCCTGGCCGTGCTCAGGGGACCATATGGAATATGGGAATCGAACCCGGGTTCGCCGAATACAAGGCAAATGCCCTACCCGCTGTGCTATCACTCCAGCCCCAACTTGCCTCACATTTTGAAATTCAAAAGGTACAGAGCAGGGAGCTAGATGAGATGGTAGAACACATGCCAAACTCATGAGAGATCCCCTGAGTTCTGCCCTGGGAGTACATGACTACGGTACCCCCAAGTGCATGATCTCTAGATATGACTATGGAATGGATTCCAGAGTTAACTTTCTGTTTGTCATTTGGGCTACACCCAGTGGTGCTCAGGTATAATTCCCAGCATGGTACTTGGGGAAGGGGGTGCTCCCAGAAGTTCTCTGGGGGACGATGAAGTACTAAACTGAACCCAGGGCTCTGGCATGCAAAGCATGTACTCTAGCCCTTTGACCTGTTTCCCTGGCCCAGTTCCAATGTATCAGAATAGCAAGGGACTGGCTACTTTTCATTCAAAATAAGATGTCATTTCAGAAATGTGTGCTGGTTTATATTTAAGAAACAGAAAGATGGGGGGCTAGAGCGATAGTACAGCAGGTAGGGTGTTTGCCTTGCATATGACCAACCCAGGTTCGATTCCCAGCATCCCATATGTCCCCTGAGCACTGCAAGGAGTAATTCCTGAGTGCAAAGTCAGGAGTAACCCTTGTGCATCACTGGGTGTGACCCAAAAAGCACAAAAAAAAAAGAAAGAAAGAAAGAAAGAAAGAAAAAAGAAACAAAGATACATCAAAATGAATTAAAGTGGTTACTTTAAAAAAGGAGGGAGTACAAATGAAAGGTAGCATTCATCTCAGGTACTTTGTGTGTTTTACTTTGGATCCTTGTAAAAGTTTTAATTCAAAAGAGAAAAAAAATGAGCAACTTCTAAAAATTGAAGCACAGTAGAGCATCAGCCTAATTGTCCTACTGAGTTTTTGCATAATCACACAAAGAATTATTATTATTTTTTCTTTTTAGGTCACACCTGGCAATGCTCAAGGATTACTCCTGGCTCTGCACTCAGGAATTACTGCTGGCAGTGCTTGGGGGACCATACAGGATGCCAGGGATCAAACCTAGGTCATCTGTATGCAATGCACATGCCTCATCTATTGTACTATCACTTCAGCCTCAAACTATTTCATTCTTAAATAATTAATTTTAGGCTGGGGATACAGCTCAGAGGATTGAGGTGCATGCTCTTTTGTTTTTATTTCGGGCCACCCCTGGAGGGGCACAGGGTTTGATCCTAGCTCTGTGCCCAGGAATTACTCTGTGTGATTTTCTGGGGACCTTATGGGATGCCAGGGCTTGAACCCAGGTTGGCGATGTACAAGGCAAGTGCCCTACCTATTGTACTGTAGCTCCAGCCCCCTGAAGCACATGCTTCAAATGATAGGGCATTTGACTTGCATGAGACTAACCTGGGTTCGATCCCCTGCATTCCATGTGTCTCCCCAAGCACCGCCAGGAGTAATTCCTGAGTTCAGAGTCAGCAGTAACCCCTGAGCATCTCTGGGTGTGACCCAAAAAGCAAAAACAAGAAGTGAAAGTGAAATAGCAGCATTTTGTAATCTATGATTAATATGTCTATGTTTTGAGCATCAACAGTTGATAATATCACAAAAGAGAATATCAAATGTTTGAGCTTTTTGAATGGAAGATGGTATCTTCACATATGAAACAACCTTCCCCCCGAATTTAATCAGAATTTAATTGAGCCTTTAGGACTGACTATGAGTTTAGAGGAAAATAGAAAAAAAAATGCTGCACTGCACAGTGGATTACAATTAGCAAGATCCAGACTCTGGATTCTGTGTAGCAAACAGTCTAATTTCTTCATTTGCAAGGAAAAAAATAGAGATAAGGATGATGGAGAAGTGGGGGAGTACCCCAGATCTTAAGAAAACATATCAGCTCAGCTGCAGGCAAGGCAAGAGTCCTACTTCTTATAGAATAAGAAGATAGAGATTAATAATAATAATAATAATAATAATAATAAAAAGAAGAAGAAGAAGAAGAAGAAGAATATAGAGATAGAATAAGCAGCAAGACTCTTGCCTTGCCTGCAGCTGAGCACTGCTAGGTGTGGCCTCAAATATTTCCCACCTTCAAAACAAAGTAGAAAACTTACCAGTCATTTGCACTGAGAGGACCATATTTGGATCCTGATCCAAACAAAAGACTGTTTACTCCTCCACCCATTCTGCCTGCACACATGATCATTTATGATACTTGAAACTATTTAAGACATTTGCATGTCTTTTGATATTAAGGAAATAATATTTTTTTATTGTGTGCTAATAAAGTAATCCTTGATCATATGGCTAGGAGTATATCCTGAGCACAACTGGATATGGGCCCCCCTCTCTACCAAAAAAATTTTTTTGCTTTTGATAGCTGATGGCCAAATTGTTAGACACATTCCTTTTGCTATTCCATCTACCCAGCAGACCTACTTTTTTTTTCCCCTTTCTCCAGTGCTGCCAAGTGTGACCCCAAATCAAAATCACACAACAAATAAAGTACAACTGAGCTCGATCCCAGCTATAAACTTTTAATATTTTATAAGTTTTGGTTTTGGGGCTGGAGACATTTGGGGCCCCTGGCATCACGGCAGTGCTCTGCAACCCAGCGTGTTAAAGTCTGCGAGTAGTGATTTTTTGAAAAAGTTTGAACACTCTTCCTGGTGAGTGTGATGTGCAAGACAAGCACCTTATCAACTGTGTTACCTCTCCAGCCTCATTTTTTGTATAAAATTAAAGACTTGCATTCAGCATTCATTAAGTTATATACTATCAGTTCAACCCTGGAACTTATCATTACACATGCATACACACACACACACACACACACACACACACACACACGTGCATCTTTTTTTTTTTACATTTTTTTTTCCTTTTTATTAGTGAAACACCATGAAGTACAGTTGTAGATTTACAATTTTTTGTGCTTGGGTTTCGATTATACAATGATCAAATACCCATCCCTCCATCAGTGCCCATTTTCCACCACCATGGATAATATCCCTCCCACCCCCACCCCCACCCCCATCCCACCCTGCCTCTGTGGCAGGGCATTCCCTTGTGTTCTCTCTCTCCTTTTGGGTGTTGTGGTCTGCAAAAGAGGCATTGAGTGGCAAACATGTTCAGTCCATAGTCTACTTTCAACATGCATCTCCCCTCCTGGGAGGATCCTCCAAACATCCTTTATTTGGTGCTCCCTTCTCTATCTGAGCTGCCCTTTCCCCTAGAATGCCCGGCTGGCCTCTAAGCTATGGAGTAATCCTCCTGGTGCTGATCTCAGCTATTCTTGGGTATTAATCTCATATTTTGTTACTTTATATCCCCCAGATGAATGCAATCTTTCTATGTCTATCCCTCTCTTTCTGACTCATTTTGCTTAGCATGATACTTTCACACATGTGCATCTTTAAAATTTCTATCCAGTCTTTGGACAGGGGAGATAGCACGTAGAGGAACTGAGTGCTTCCTTTGCACGAGAGAAGCATAGATTTGATCCCCCAAATTGCATGGTCCCCTGATCATGTTTTATGTGTTGGTATAAAAAGTGTTGTATATAAATAAATATCTATATTTATTATATACTTCTCTATTATCATCCCATGATTTACCAAGTGGTTCATAATATAGTTATTTGAGGCACTAAATGTTCCAACACCAGTTTTGCCACCAGTGTGACGTTGTCTCTGCCAAAGCCCCCAGTTTCCCACTCACCATCCCAGCCTGCCCCCTTGCAGACACAATCAGATTCACTTCTTATTGTTTGTTCCATTTCAAAGGTAAATGGAATTATCAAATCTTAGATCAATAAGAGTCAGTTTGTAGCAATTGTCATGTCTCACAGTGATGTTACTGAAGTCATTGTCTGAGGATCTTCTGTGCTGGTTAGTGCTAGCTGAACCTTCTGTGTTACTCTTTAGAGTCATTGAGCTTGCGTGGTCTTCTGTACAGCTTTCCAGTCAGATTTACTGTGATTCTACTGGAATGACAATACCATGAAATTCTGAGGTGTCAAGACCACACAGTCCACAAGCTATAAGATCTGCCACAATTTGGTGGCTTGGCAGTTTGATGAGGTTCACTTTTGGAGCTGGGCCGTGTCTGTGTTGGAGGGTGCTGGCTATGACTTGGCTGCTGTGTCTTCAGGCAGCAAGGGGCATGTGCCCACCCCTGTTCTGAGAAGGCAACAGAGGTCTCAGTCCTGTCTTGAGCCTGTCTGCCTAGGAAGATTCAGCAGTCCTATGTTCTCTTGGAGTTTATTAAGGGATGTACTATGGTTCAAATGACCAGAGTATGTGTTCCAGAGCAACATCTGTCCTGTAGCTCATATTCTTTTCCTTTTAATGTATTATAGTTGAAGCTTCTTGTCAAAATGGGGATGAAACTATTGAAACTATCGAGGCTGCAGAAGCTCTCCTCAATATGGACTCCCCTGGCCCAATGCTGGATGAAAAACGGCTAAGTGAGTGGTTGATTTATGAATGTTCATAATTATTACCTTGAAAATTCAGTTTCACCTTCTTTTTCTATTAGATGATATATATCAAGAGACCATGGAGAGGCCACAGAGATAGTAAAGTGGGTAAGGTGCTTGCCTTGCATGTGGCTGACCTGGGTTTGATCCCTGACACCATATATGGTTCCCTGATCATTGCCAAGTGTGACCCAAAACCAAAATAAATAGAGAGAGACCAGGGGGCTGGATTGATAGTATAGGATGTAAGGCTTTTTCTTGGCATATGGCTGGTCCTGGTTCAAATCTTTGGACACTACCAGGAGTGAATACAGAGCACAGAACCAGGCATTCCCCCCGATTATCACCAGGTGTGACTCATATACCCCCTTCATAAATGTATTTATAGTAGTAGTTGATGTGCCTTTGCTAAAGTATTCCGTTTAAACAAGAGTTTTATAAAAATTGAGGAGGCCTTTAGAAATAATAAAAAAGTAATTAAGTTGTCAAATAGCTAACTATTCAGTATGTCTTCTGTAAGACTCACTTTTTGGGCATTTATAGATGACTCTATTAGAATTTAATAATTTCTAGATAATTATGAGTGAGTAGGCAAAAATCTTTGAAAATTTTCTGACCCTTCATTGCATAAAGTTTATTGTGACATTGTTTGTCTGCTTTTATTTTAATTTTGCTGGGGAGTTTTCCAGGCCTCAAACATTCTAAACCTGGACTCCATCACTGAGCTATCTCCCTGTCCTTATTGTTCTTTTAATTTTTTATCACCCTCACTGTGTCTGTGTGTGTTTCTGTGTGTGTGTGTGTGTGTGTGTGTGTGTGTGTGTGTGTGTGTGCGCGCGCTGCTGGGTGTTTAATACACGCTTACATGCAATACAAGTCCTTTACTGCTAAGCTACAACCCTAACCCTCTTGTTCTGCTTTTACTTTAGTTTGTTTTATATTTATTTGTTTCATTTTGTTTCTGTACCCAATGGTGTTCAAGTCACCACCTTTGGCTCAGTGGTCAGGGATTATTCCCAGAGGTGCTCAGAGGACCTTACAGTGCCGGGGATTGAGCCTGGGACTCCATCATGCAAACCATCCCTCTGGCCTTTGTTCTGCTTTAAAATATATGTTCTCAGAACTGAAGCAATAGTACTTCAAATAAGGTACACCTGGCCAACCCAGGTCAACCCTCAATACCACATACCTCACCCAGTGCCCTGCCAGAAGCAATTCATGAGCTCAGAGTCAGTTTAAAAGACAATAGAGTGGGTAGGGCCTTGCCTTGCGCATGGCCAGCCTTGTTTCCATCCCCAGTTCCCCATATGCTTCCCTGATCCCTACCAGGAGTGATTCCTGAGCCAGGAAAATTCTGCCTGGTGTAAAAAAAAAAACAAAAAACAACGAAAAAAAAGAGAGAAAGAAAAGAAAATAGTCAAACTCACCAAATTGTTACTAAGTCATTTAAGGGTGTTTTTATCCTATGTATTATAGTCATGAATTAGACAATAATGTGATATACTAATGAACAGGTATTTTTTCTTTCAAGTTTATAACAATTTTGAAGGAAGTACTTTGGGTGAATAACTATAAAAGTGGAAAAATAAAGGTATTGGAGAGAAAGCAAGATGGCCTGGACGTAGAGAATATTCCAGCTGAGAATCTCAGAGATAGGCTTTCTCAAGGGAGTGTTTAGAGTGGGCTATAAATGATAATAAGCTTTTTATAAGTGAGGAATCCAGAAGGGACGTTTAAGATAGAGAGGAGGGAACTGAGCCAAAGACCACAGGCCTGTGGGGAGAAAAATTGTTAGAGATTAAAAATATGCTTCAGTGGGAGGGGGCCAGAGAGATAGTGTATTTAAGGGGTAAGGCACTCTCCTTCCATGTGGCTGACATAGTGTGGCCAGTTCATCCCTGGAACCACTTACAGTCACCTGGACACTGCCAGGAGCAGCCCCTGCACACCTCCAGGTGTAACCCATCTCTCCCCTCCCCTCCAATGGTAAAGTATAAGATTTATTTTTTGTTTGTTTGGTGGGTCCACAGATGGCAAGTACTGTTCAGTGCTCACTCCTGGCTTTGTGCTTGGGGATCACTCTTGGGCAGGGTTCAGGAAACTGGGGGTTGAACCAGTGTTGGCATGTGCAAGGCAAGCACCCTACCCACTGTACTTAATTTTACCAGTTTCTTGAAGTGTAAGATTCTTGATGTATAGGAGATGAGATTGGAAAGATAAGTCTGATAGAGATTGTGGGAACTTCAGCATGCTGTGGGTTTGGAGTTCTTAACTAATGCCCACCACCCAACTATGGGAAGATACATCAATTTTTTTCTAATTTTTAATATAGGATTTTTGTAGAATAGTATGATCAGATCATTCTGATGTTTCAGAGAGTAAGTTACAATGTGAAGAAGGTTAAGAGGAAAGGGATCAGAGCAATAGAATAGAGGGTAGGGTGTTTGCCTTGCATGAGGCTGACCCGAGTTTCGATTCCTAGCATCCCATATGGTTCTCCAAGCACTGCCAGGAGTAACCCCTGAGCATCACTGGGTGTGATCCAAAAAGAAAAAAAGTTAAGAGGAGAAAAGATTGACTGGTTTAGGAAGTCGGACAAGGAAGACATTGGGGGGCTGGAGTGATAGTACAGTGGGTAGGGCGTTTGCCTTGCACGCAGCTGACCCAGGTTCAATTCCCAGCATCCCACTTGGCTCCCTCGGGCACCGCCAGGAGTAACCCCTGAGCACCACCGGGTATGGCCCAAAATGCAAAAAAAAAAAAAAAAAAAAAAAGGAAGGCATTGGAATTGTCCATTGTAATCTGGCCTAATTTAAGGTACCTGAGTTAGAACTAGAGAAAATAAAAAATCCAGAAACTAGCTTTCAAGATTTCCTTTCCATCTTCCACAGAAGCAGGAAATTATTTTATGAAATTTAGTTTTATAAACCAAAGTTGATTATAATTAGTTGATTTTATTTCCATTAGATAATAATATATTTAGTTCATCTGAAGATGACATTGTTGTTGCCCCCATCACCCATGTATCCGTCACATTAGATGGGATTCCTGAAGTCATGGAAACGCAGCAAGTTCAAGAGACGTACGCACACTCCCCTGGAGCCTCATCACCGGAGCAGCCTAAGAGGAAGAAAGGTGGGTGGTGTATTTGTTTAGGGGAAACAATCAAATCTTGGTGTAAAATTTAAATAAAATTTTTATTCAAGGGTGGGCTGGAGTGATAGCACAGCGGTAGGGCGTTTGCCTTGCACGCAGCCAACATGGCCGACCCAAGTTCAATTCCTCTGCCCCTCTCAGAGAGCCCGGCAAGCTATTGAGAGTATCTCGCCCGCATGGCAAAGCCTGGCAAGCTATCCGTGATGTCTTCGATATGCCAAACACAGTAACAAGAAGTCTCCAATGGAGACGTTACTGGGCCCGCTCGAGCAAATCGATGAACAATGGAAGGACAGTGTTTATTCAAGGGTATTTCTATTCCAGTTAAAATTGACATAAAAGGAAAGAGCACAAAGCTTCTCAATTTCTATTGAGAGATATTTCTTTGTACTTAACTCTTTTTTAAAAATTTCTATTTTCTAATTTAAAATATTCAGTTTTATCTTATAGAAAAAGGATTTTCTAACTTCCTAAGCCTTGGTCCTCTAGCTAAGCCCTTTTATCCAAGATAAGAGTTTAGGATTAAGGTATGTCAGCTTGCTTCCTGGCACATGGTTTAAAAGCTAACAATACAGTTTTAATCTAAGTTTCCAGCGGGGAAAATGTAGCCTTGGGAATTGACAGGTAAGGAATTTAAGAGGAAAGTGTTAGGCCATGTTAAAGAAAATTTTTAACTTCACAAGTTTTAGGACCAGTCTTTACTCGTGTGTCACACCCTTTTCATTCCATGGTTTTCCACATCTGGTTCAGCTTGTTTAATACTTCAAGTTTTTGTCTCAGTTAAATATTTCACAAGTTATCCGGTAACATTCTATGAGTCGTAAATGAGGAGGAAAATAAAAAGCAATAATGCGCTGACATTGCAGCTCTGAAGGACTAGAAAGAAAGAAAGGCGTGCCAGTCTTGATAATCCAAGGGGCTTGGGTTTTATTGCTCATTTAGAAGTAAATGCTTAGTTGTAGTCCAGTTAGAGCTAGGGTCACAAATCACGAATTACGACCATCCTGTTGTTCGTCGATTGCCTCGAGCAGGCCCCAGTAACGTCTCCTTCACCCTAGCCCTGAGATTATATTCAAGGCTCTTTAGGAGAATGAGACCCATCATTGTTACTGGTATTTGGCATATTGGGTACGCCACGGGGAGTTTGCCAGACTCTGCCGTGTGGGCAGGCTACAAACTGGCAGGCTACTGAGCTAGGGTATTGGTCAGATTTTCTTGCATGCAGTTAAGATCCTTGAACGGCTGTGCCCCTAGGAGAAAAACAGTTCACCCATTATCACATACAGCTGTCGAGAACACTTGTATTTCTCACCTGGGGCTCAAGACTGGGGGGGCGGGTAGGGGAGCTATTCATAAGACAACTTGTCTTCACCTGCATTTACAATTAAATTTTAAATATTGACTGACTCTAGGGATTCCTGGTCAAATAATTAACATAAAAATTATCCCAAGGGGCTGGGGAGATAATTCAAAAGAATGGAGCATATGCTTTGCATGCTGGAGCCCCAGGTTGGATCCTTGGCACTACATGGTTCCCTGAGCATCATTGGGAGTTACCCCAAGTACCACTGAGTGTGACTGAAAACACACACACACACACACACACACACACATATACACACATTACAAACACACACACAAATATAAATAGCTTTGTGGACTGGCAATGTAGCACATGAAGTTGTGCATCTGCCAATCATGTGCAAGGTTCTGAATTTGAACTCTGGCACTGCATTATCCTCAAAGCACTGTGGTCTCTGTGTATATCATAGGGAGTAGCCTCCGGGGCCCTCACAGCATCACTAAGGGTGACCACTATAGAAGGATATTATTTAATTGACCCCAAGTATGGGAATACCTTGGGATGCAGGCAGAAATTCTTATAAAATTGCTTGGTTGGGCTGGAGCAATAGTACAACATGTAGGGTGCTTACTCTGCATGTAATAGGCCCAGGTTGAATCCCCAGCATCCCATGTGGTTTCCTGAGCACCTCCACAAATAATTCTTCAGTTCAGAGCCAGGAGTAATCCCTGAGCATCTCCAGGTGTGTGTGCTCACCCCCTTCCACACAAAAAAACTACTGCTTGGTAAAGTCATATATTTAATCGAGGCTACACTGGAATTCCTTTAATAAAGACCATTACAGATGAATTATATTTCCTTGGAACAGAATTACACAGAAAAAGTAAGTTCCTGAATGAGAAGCAGCAAGCGTAGAAGAAACTCCCAGAGTGGCACTCTGGAGAGGGGCGGGTGAGGCCCCTCCCCACCCCAAGGGACCCCACCCTGGCATCCGAAAACCTCCAGAACTCAACCGCCATGCTCATGGCTGCTCTCCACATGCTCTGGCCTAGCCTCACCCACGTGTAAACTGATCCCTGCGGCAGTGCAACATCTTATACCTCACAAGACTCATGCTCCTAGAGTAGCACACCACGTTTGATGGGGTTTAAAGTAGAAGGCAACCAATCTTAGTGGGAAATATATTTTTACATATATATATTTATGAGCACACAAGGCTCAACCATTAACAACATATTTATAATCTCTTATAGAAGGGCTTAATGGCCCCTGGGTAAAATACAACAATCTTTATATGCTCTTCTTTTTTTTTTTTCTTTTTGGGTCACACCCAGCAGTGCACAGGGGTTACTCCTGGCTCTTCACTCAGGAATTACTCCTGGCGGTGCTCAGGGGACCATATGGGTTGCTGGGAATCAAACCCGGGTTGGTCGCGTGCAAGGCAAATGCCCTACCCACTGTGCTATGGCTCCAGCCCTACATGCTCTTCTGAGGAAAGTTTTTTGGATCATTTTCAGTAGTTTATTCATAACAAACTGTCAGTGTCACTGTCCTCCCATTTGTCATCGATTTGCTTGAGTGAGTAACATTGTGAGACTTGTTACTGTGTTTGGCATATCAAATACATCACAGGTAGCTTGCCGGGCTCTGTAAGAGGGGTGGAGGAATCGAACTCAGGTTGGCTAAGGGCTGCGTGCAAGGCAAATGCCCTATTCACTGTTGCTCCAGCCCAATACAAAATAAATTATTTTGTTTCTACTTTGGGGCAGGGGTTGGGGTTCTGGATGGAAACATCCAAAATATGGTGGTAGAAAGTTGTAATGGTGGTGGGATTGGTGTTCGAATATTAAATGTAATCAAATATTGTTAACTACTTTATAAAAATAAAATTTAAAAAAATAATGAAGTTATAAATAAATTAGGGTCACCTTTAGGTAAAAATAAGATACATAAAATCTTTAAAAAGAAAGAAAATCCCAGAGTTACGGTGCTAAAGAGATAGTACAGAGGGTAGGGCACTTGTCTTGCACATGGCCAACCTGGCTTCCATTCCTGGCATTCCATATGGTCCCTGATCACCAACAGAGAAGGGATTCCTGAATGCAGAGCCAGGAGTAACCTCTGATCATCACGGGTGTGCCACCACAGCCCCCAGATAAATCCAAATAAACAAAAGAATATATAGTCTAGGGCTGGAGAGATAGGACAGTGAGTAGATTACTTGCCTTGCACGATTCTCACCTGGGTTTGATTCACACTACCACATGTGGTCCCATAGCCCCAGTAGGAGTGATCCCTGAGCACACAGCTAGGAATAAGCCCTGAGCACTGCTTAGGTGTAGCACAAAAACAAAAACTTTCTTGAAACTAAGTAATCTGGCTCAAGAATAGGACTATTAACAAAGACTAAGTGGTACTCTCTCTTTTAGCCAACACAGAATAACAGAACTTGGTAACAGCTTTTTGAATATGTCACCTAGAGCACAATCAACATAAGCAATAATTAGTAAGTGGGGCTATATTAACTGCAGAATCTCTTGGAAGAGCAAAAGAAACAAAAGTAGAGAAAGAAAAAAGTGACCTACATGATGGAAGAAAATGATTTCAAACTACTTACCTTATGTGATAATACTATTGATACAAATCTCAACATACTATTGATACAAATCTCAACACAATGATATTAATAATGTGTTCCATATAAAATTGTGAAAACTACAAACTAATATATAATGACAAAATATGAGTGGTTATTTGAGTGTGACTAAAAGTCACAGTGAAGAGAGTCAAAAAGATCACTCTTGGGGCTGGAGCAATAGCACAGTGTGTAAGGTGTTTGCCTTGCACACGGCTTACCCAGGTTCGATTCCTCCACCCTTCTTGGAGAGTCCGGCAAGCTACCGAGAGTATGTCGCCCGCATGGAAAAGCCTGGAAGCTCCTCATGACGTATTCGATATGCCAAAAGCAGTAAGACATTACTGGTGCCTGCTCAAGCAAATCAATGAACAGTGGGAGGACAGTGCTACAATGAGTAGTTATATGTCTGTTCCGGGTGCAGAGTGATGTGATACAAGGATTATGATTGAGCAGAAAGTACCTTCAGGAGTGTGTATCTAGTGGAAGTATCACATATGTCAAAATTTACCAAGTCTTAATCAAATATGCAATTATTATATTGTATGTCAATTGTATATTGAGCTGTTTTTTGAGAATGGGTCACACCAGGCAGTGCTTAGAGCATACTCCTGGCTCAGGGATAGCTCCTGACATTGCTCAGGGAACCATATGTGGTGCTAAGCATCAGACTTGAGTCAACTGCATACCAGGCAGGCCCTCCCTTAATCTCTGTCCACTCTCACTGACCCTAAGAGTGATTTTTTTTTTTTGGCTTTTTGGGTCACACCTGGCAATGTACAGAGGTCACTCCTGGCTCATGCACTCAGGAATTTCTCCTGGCAGTGCTTGGGGGACCATATGGGATGCTGGGAATCGAACCCCATTTGGCCACGTGCAAGGCAGACACCCTACCCGCTGTGCTTTCACTCCAGCCCCAAGAGTGATCTTTTTGACTCTCTTTACTGTGACTTTTAGTTACCTAGATAACTTCAGAAATGTTATTTTACTCTGTTTAGGAATGTGTTGTTGACTAAGTTACTGTTCTATACTATACTATCCTGAATTAATCCTTGTAATAGACACAGAGACAGTGAGCCTAAAGAATGTATGAGTACTAACTAGGTATGAAGTACTAGCTGGAATAACCTTTTGTTCTTAATTTTTAATATTTCTCACAGAGTAGTAATCTGTTTGGCCAGCAGGGGTTTCTTAACCTATAGGACAGACACTGAACTGTGATTTAATTATATGGCAAAAATAGATCACAGGCTCTAGGATAGTCAGTTGACCCAAAGTAAGGCTGCATATAGCACAATTTAACACAGTTAGGGGGGATTTTAGTAATTATATGAAGGATAACTAAGTTGTTTGTTTTCTATGTCACAAATATGCCTCATTTACTTTCTGTATCTTAAAGGTTTGGGGAAGATTTTAGTATTGAAAACTATATGCAGACATGTATTCAGAAGAGACAAAAGCAAGTTTGAAGTAAAACATTTTAAACTTCATCTCATTTTTACAAATGAGCTAAAGCATTATTTACTTTCAGAAATATTTTTATGCAGGCCAGAGTGACAGTGCTGTCGGTGGGTGCTTGCCTTGCATGTGGCCTTGGGTTCAACCCTCAGCACCCCATATTGTCCCGAGTCCTACCAGGAGTGACCCCGTAGAGCAGAGCCACAAGTGAGTCCTGAACACTGCCAGGCCCAAAATAAAAACCCAGTGTATATGGCTTGTGTATAAAGTATTTGAAATTTCGAGTAAACAACAGAATAGTATTTATAAACAACTAAACTGTCCACACACACTCTCATTTTTGAGGACAACTATTTACATAGAGCTGTTCTCATTTCAGGGAGAAAAACTAAACCACCACGACCAGATTCCCCAGCCTCGACCCCAAACATATCTGTGAAGAAGAAAAACAAAGATGGGAAGGGTAAGCTACACTCTAATTTCCCTGAGTTACTTAAATGTCAAGTAACGTTCACATCGCTTCGAAATATGCAGATTTATAAGTAGAAACCACCATAGTAAGATATATCTGAGTGCTGCCTTACACTTCTGAAATACCTTTGTATAAGTAAACTGATAATAGAACTCAAGACAATTTTATTTTTCTGTCAAAGTAATCCATCCTTTCTTTCAAAAAGAGTCTGCCAAAATTTTGAGTTCAGGTTGGTTAGGTGTTTAGTTCAAAGATGCCTCATTGTTGTGGAGTTTTAGAATTTTCATAACTGCTACCAAAACAGAATAAAATATTTATGGAAAATCTGGACCTCATATTTTCACTGTTCTGTATCATAGTTTTTAAAGAGGCAAAAGGAATAAAGTTGTCTGAGTGTTTTTTTTTTTTTTTCACTAAGTCATCAAAAACCTAACTGGCAAGATTGCTCGTTAGGCATCTTTTATAGTACTAAGAAAGAGATCTATATTAGTTCCTAAAATGTATGTCTGGGGCCGGAGCGAAAGTACATTGAGTAGGGCATTTGCCTTGCACGAGGCTTACCTGATTTCGATCCCAGTATCCTATATGGTCCCCTGAGCACCGCCAGGAGTCATTCCTGAGTGCAGAGCCTGGAGTAACCCAAGTATTGCTGGGTGTCACCCAAAAGAAAAAAAAAAGTCTGGCTTATGTAAGTAATACTAATTTAATTGTGTAAGGTTTTTATATTATTATAAAATTCACCTAAAGGAATTTTAATGTGTTTCATTGTGTTACTTCAAATAAATTTAGTTAAAAATAAATTGCTTTTGTTTCAGGAAACACAATTTATCTGTGGGAGTTTTTACTGGCACTGCTCCAAGACAAAGCTACTTGTCCTAAATATATCAAATGGACCCAGAGAGAAAAAGGCATTTTTAAGTTGGTAGATTCCAAAGCAGTATCCAGGTTGTGGGGGAAGCATAAAAACAAGCCTGATATGAATTATGAGACCATGGGAAGAGCTCTCAGGTACGTGAAATTGTGTAGCTGAAAGTTAAAAGTGTCATTTCTGAGGCAGGGTGATAAGTCGGGTGTAGTATGCATGCTTTGCATGGAGGAGGGCTGGTGAGATCAGGACTGCATGGCTCCTCCCCAGCTAACCCCAAGCATTGAGAGAATGGACCCCCAAGGGGCTGGAGCCATAGCACAGCGGGTAGGGCATTGCCTTGCACGTGGCCAACCTGGGTTCGATTCCCAGCATCCCATATAGTCCCCCGAGCACCACCAGGAGTAATTCCTGAGTGCATGAGCCAGGAGTCACCTCTGTGCATCGCTGGGTGTAATCCAAAACACAGCAACAAAAAAGAGTGGACCCTCAAGCATGGAGCTTGGAGTGGCCCCTGAGCATTGTAGAGTGTGGCCCCAAAACAAACAGCAACAACAGTAACAAAAGAATATTTCTTAAATACTTTAAGTATAAGGTAAGTGCTTTTAAGAAACTTTCAAAAAATGAAAAAAAATTAAGGAATCAAAGAAATGCTGTATTTTATCTTAAGTGCTAAAGCAACAAATTTTCCCTCAAAAAGAGGGATTTAAAAAAATCTCTTTGGAGGAGTTTGAGTAGTTTGGGGTGAGGTCACACCTGGCTGTGCTCAGGATTCAGTCTTGGAGGTGCTCAGGGTATGTGGCACCACTGATTGAACTGGATTGGCCATGTCAAGGCAAGTACCTCACCTGCTGTCCTATCTCTCCAGATTTACCAGTACTCGGTTTGGTTTGTGTTGTTTTGCTTTTTGGCCACACTGGCTGTTTTTAGGACTCACTTCTGGCTCTGCATTCAGGAATCGCTCCCTGGGTGACTTGGAAACCATATGGGATGCTGGGATCAAACATGAGTCAGTTGAATGCAAAGCAAGAGCCTTACCTGCTGTGCTATCTCTCTGGGCCATATAAATGCTCATTTAATTAAAATCCTAGTCCAATAGGAGGAATGTTTTACTTCCGGAAGAAAAAAAAGAAGCAGCAGCAGATATTCATTTATAAACGGAGCAGAAACACTCTGTTATCAGGAATTGTACATTGATCACAGGGTTTTTGTTTTGAGCTATTAAACATAAAATTCAGCACAGTAAAATAGTTGAATAAGGTTTATAGGAAGGTGAGTTTTAAAATGCAGAATTTAGGTATATATGTGATAGATTGTTGTTATTGATGCGATACATTAATACCTTGGAACGGTTAAACATTGTGATTTTTTTTTGGTGGGGTGTTTTTCAGGGGGCTCAAATACACAGCCTGACATCCCATTGCTGAACCCACACCCCCACCTGTCAGTGGTGCTCAGGGCTATGTGCTCGGATTCTAACTCTTCCCTCCTCCTCTGCCATACACTATTTTTGAACTGACATTTGGGTTTGGGGTTTTTTTTTTTTTTTTGGTAATACCATCTTTTCTTCATAGTATGCAAGTATGTGAGAAAGATTTATTAACAGTAGCAATGATTTTACAATTTGGTAATCTAAAACTAGAGCTAGTTATAATGTGTACTGGGGCCTAAAGCCTACATTTTAAAAATGGAATTAAAATTAATAAAATTTTAATTTTTTTTTTTTTTTGCTTTTTGGGTCACACCCAGCAATGCTCAGGGGTTACTTCTGGCTCATGCACTCAGGAATTGCTCCTGGTGGTGCTCGGGGGACCATATGGGATTCTGGGAATTGAACCTGTGTCAGCCATGTTGGCTGCGTGCAAGGCAAACGCCCTACCCGCTGTGCTATCACTCCAACCCCCAAAATTTTAATTATTTCTATTTGTACATTAATTCTATATAAAACATAAGTTAGATTTTTAGAATTGAACTTAAAAATTTGCAGGGACATGATTAAAAGGCATGGAACATAAATTGAGGTTTGTAATAGATTTGATTATTCCAGAGAGTTAGCAGAAGGGTAAAGGTAAAAGGTAAAGGCCCTCCCATTGATCGTCGATTTGCTCGAGCGGGCCCAGTAACGTCTCCATTGGAGACTTTGTTGTTACTGTGTTTGGCATATCGAATACTCTTGGTAGCTTGCCGGGCTCTCCGAGAGGGGCGGAGGAATCGAACTCGGGTCAGCCATGTTAGCCGCTTGTAAGGCAAACACCCTACCCGCTGTGCTATCGCTCCAGCCCAGCAGAAGGGTATAAGAAAGGAAAAAATGAAGGGCTAGACTAATCCTTATACTTTATTGAAGATTTCCTAATCAGAGTTACCTTTAGGTTGACTTGGTAATAAGGACTTTATCTGAAAATAACTGTATGCATTCATATATTTAGAAAAGAACTTTTAAGAAAATATTCTTATAGATTACCTTTCATTTAGAATTTTTTCACTAGTTTGTAATTTTGTGACTAGAAACAGTTTTAATTGATTGTATTTACATTTAATGGAATAAATATGAAATTATTTGCTTTGAATAGGTACTATTATCAAAGGGGTATTCTGGCAAAAGTAGAAGGTCAGCGCTTGGTGTATCAGTTCAAGGAAATGCCGAAAGATCTCATTTATATAGATGATGAGGATCCTAGTTCCAGCATAGAGTCTCCAGATTCATCACTGTCTTCTACAACCACTGCAAGTAGAAATCAACCAGGCCGATCCAGAGTATCTTCAAGTTCGGGAATAAAAGGAGTCACTACAGTTCTGAAACCTGGGAATTCAAAAGCTACAAAATCCAAAGATCCTGTGGAAGTTGCACAGACACCAGAAGTTCTGAGGACAGTGCAACCCACACAGTCTCCTTATCCTACCCAGCTGTTCCGAACTATTCATGTAGTGCAACCAGTACAAGCTGTCCCAGATGGAGAAGCAACGGGAACCAATAATGTGCAGGATGAAACGTTAAATTCTTCCGTTCAGAGTATTAGGTGAGAAAATTGAAGTTACCATTGCATAATCATTATGTGATGTTGCTTACCAGAGCTATTATTTTTTTAAGTGATTCCGGATTCAGAAGTGGAAATAAAAATGAAACAGATTTCAAGCTAGAATACTTTGTCAACAAATTGTTTCAGCAGCAGTATAATCAATGCCTTCTTCTTGTATTAAGATTTCTCATTTTTAAACTTTAGCATTACTTGTAACCTGTCGATTTGTCTATTCCACTCTACTTTGTGCTTGTGTGTCTGCGGTATCCTGGTTCTCACTCATCCAGGGCACACACACATCCAAGAGCCACTTCCTGGGTTGAGTTCACTATACATTTTTTTTTTAGTTTTTTCAATTTTAATTGCTCTGATCTTTAATGTTTCTCTGAGAAAAATACAACGCTGATTATTAATACATTGTCCATAAATTTCCTTTTAATATCATTTCTCTAGCATAATGATAATTTGCAAGAAATTCTTTCACTACACATTTTTAACTGGCTTAATTTAGAAAAGAGGTTGGAGTGAGTCACCTATAAGAATATCCAGGCAGTACTTTCAGTTTGTTTTTTTTTTCAAACCAAATGAGAAACTGTAAATTTAGTGGAAATGGAGAGAGATTGGCCTTTCAGTACACATGGAGGTCTTAAGAAGTAGACATTATTCTTTGAACAAGAGACTTTGATGGAACAATTCTCAAACTCAAACAGGTATGGCGGTGAAGAATATAAGGTTCCTTTTACATCCCTTTAAGAGTTGTAATAAATAAAAAAACCTGATAATACCGAATATCCTGTTGTAGGCTGATCTTGACAACTTAGTGATATGGGTGGCAGTTTGCACTTTGGTATCAGTATTCTCCATGTATGGGTAGACTTTACTCATCTGATGTCTTTGCAGTTCCTTTGTTGTATTGTACTTCTCCTTCTTTTTTTTTTTTTTAGGGAAGGGAGGATTAAAAAATGTTTTGTATGAGGATTGGAGGGATAGTTCAGCAGGTAGGGCACTTGCCTTGCACCCAGCAGACTGGGGTTCAATCTCCAGGATCCTATACAGTCCCTCAAGCCCACTAAAAATGATTTCTGAGTGCAGATCCAGGAGTGATCCCTGAGCGCTGCTCACAAACCAAGAAAAAAAAAAGCAATTTTGTACAACGCTCTATTTTATGACCTTCCCCTTCCCTTCCCTTTGCTGTTACTGTGATGAGCATGGGACGCATACACTTAGTTGTCGTGCTTGCTGAGGGTTGCACATTTCAGCTGTTGCACTTGAACCCCTTTGGTTTATTGGACCCACATGTTGGCCATTTGAAGTAGAAATTATCTAACTTTTGTAAAATAGCTTTATACAATTCAGAGGAAACAAAAGTTGAAATGCAGTTTTTTGCTGAGTTTTTCAAACACATTAGTTTCACGTTAACAATAGATAGTAAGGGCTGGGGTGATAATACAGCAGGTGAGGTGCTTGCTTTGCACGAGGTGCCCCAGCAGGAGTGATCCCTGACCTCAGCTGGATATAATCCAAAAAAAAAAAACCCAAAATAATAGGCAATAACTATAACTTCCACATCTATGAAATTCTGAGACTGACTCATATCATTATGTACATCTTAAATAGCACTGTAGCACTGTCCTCCCATTGTTCATCGATTTGCTTCAGCAGGCACCAGTAATGTCTCCATTGTGAGACTTGTTACTGTTTTTAGCATACTGAATACGCCACGAGGAGCTTGCCAGCTTCCGCCGTGCAGACGGGATACTCTCAGTAGCTTACCAGGCTCTCCGAGAGAGAGATGCCTTACCCCCTGTGCTGTTGCTCCAGCCCATCTTAGATAGATGAAATTAATATTAATAAACTGAATTTTGCATTAATATATTTTGTTAAATTTGTGGCTTTATGGCTAAATTTTGTGCTTGAATTTACTTTTGCCTAAACTTGAACTTAGTTTTTGCGCTTTCCACTAGCTAATAGAACTCTTATGAGGTAAATAAATTTATGACTGTGTCATATGATATGCTACATGAACTGTGGACTATGAATACTTGACTTATATATGTGAGCTCCTGAGTTTAAAGCTCTGCGCAGCATAATAAAAGTGATAAAATTCTTAGAATAATCTTGTCACACGCTTATTTAATTCTGAAGTGGTTTATTTGTCTTTTGTTTTGGGCCAAGTCTAGTGGAGCTGGAGGCTTCTCTAAGCTTGGTGTTCAGGGCTTTCTGTGGTTCCCTAGGGATCATGTGCTGAGGAGGGTCCCCAGGGCTGTTAGATGTGAATCATGTGCTTTTGCACATTGAACTGCTTCCTGGCTCCAAAGTGACTTTTATATTAAGTTGATTGAACATTTTTCCTCTCTCTCTAGAGAGAATGGTTGAAGACAATTACAAGTATATTGAATTTTGATAACTGTATATGATTCTATTGATGGCATCATCTCTTAAATATCAAAATGATGAATGTGAATCAGATATATTTATTTTAAAATAATAGTCTCATCCAACAAAATCACTTTCCCATCTGTATTAATGGACTTGGTACGACGTCTTTTTTTTTTTTTTTTTTGCTTTTTGGGTCACACCTGGTGATGCACAGGGGTTACTCCTGGCTCTGCACTCAGGAGTTACTCCTGGCGGTGCTCAGGGGACCATATGGGATGCTGGGAATCAAACCCGGGTTGGCCGCGTGCAAGGCAAACACCCTACCCACTGTGCTATCTCTCCAGCCCCCGGTATGACGTCTTTTTGGTTGTGTTTTTGTTTGTCCATACTCAGCTATGCTTGGGGACAACTCTCAGCTCTGTACTTAGGGATCTCCAAGTGGTTCTGTACTCTGTACACAAAGGACCATGTGGTTCCAGGGATCCAATCTTGGTTTCCTTTGGTTTCCTGCCTGCATGTGCTCAACTCATCAAGTTCTCTTTCTGACCCCAAGATTTTTTTCACCAGATTATATGTATGTATATATATATTTTTTTATTTTATTTTATTTTTTGCTTTTTAGGTCACTCCTGGCAGTGCTCAGGGGACCATATAGGATGCTGGTAATCTAACCTGGGTAGGCCGTGTGCAAGGCACATGCCCTACTGTACTAGCCCTCCAGCCCCTCACCAGATTATATTATAGTTGAAGTGCCTGAGAGTTTTCTGTTGGAGATTTCTTTATATCATTATGTACAGTGATTATACAGGATTTCACAAAAAATTGTTTTGTGTTGAAAACAATATGGGAAGTTGCATTTAAGATGCATAATATTTTGTCAAATGACTTATCATATGTTTACGTTAGAGAGTATGCTAATTTTTCACTTTGTTTTATGATCTCAATAGGACCATACAGGCTCCAGCCCAAGTCCCAGTGGTCGTGTCTCCTGGGAACCAGCAGTTACATACAGTAACACTCCAGACAGTGCCAATCACAACAGTTATAGCCAGTACAGATCCATCTTCAGGTGCTGCGTCTCCAAAATTTATTTTGCAAGCCATTCCATCATCACAGCCCATGACTGTACTGAAAGAAAATGTCATGATACAGTCCCAGAAGCCTGGTTCTCCTTCTTCCATTGTCCTCAGCCCTGCCCAGGTCCAGCAGGTTCTTACCAGCAATGTTCAGTCCATTTGCAATGGAACTGTCAGTATGACTTCATCTCCATCCTTCAATGCCACTACACCAGTGGTGACCTTTTCTCCTCGCAGTTCACAAGTCGTTGCTCACCCACCTGGCACTGTGATCACTTCGGTTATCAAAGCTCAAGAAACAAAAACTCTAGCAGAGGAAGTTGAGAAAAAGGAGATTGAAGATAATTTGAAAGAAGACCCTGAGAAAACTGAGCAACAGCCACAGCCTTATGTGATGGTGGTGTCCAATCCCAATGGATTTACCTCTCAGGTAGCTGTGAAACAAAACGAATTGCTGGAACCGAACTCTTTTTAATTGCCATACCAAAGAAATTGTCTGTGTTTTTTAAGTCATCTTCAGTTGTATGGGAACGATCTGATTCTGAATTCTGTGGTCTATGAATTTTGTAGTTAATTGTAAGAAATAATTTAGAGTTAATTTTGATTTCATGAGATGAGGGGAAAACCCAAGTGTTTCTCTTTGTTTTCTAAATCATTTGTGAAGGAAAAGGCATTTTACACTATGAAGACATTCTGTCAAGATTTTTTTCCCCAGTTGCTATATCATGAACTTTTTTGTGGTGGGGAGGGGTTGGGGCCACACCTGGTGTGTGGGGGGGGTATCAGGGGCTGCTCTCCTGCTCTCCCCTGCCCTCTCAGTGCTTAGGGGTTGCTCCTGGCGGTGCTCAGGGGACCATGTGGTGCTGGGGAGTGTATCCGGGCCTCCTACATGCAAAGCATGTACTCTAGCCTGTTGCGCTTTCTCTCCAGCCCTCACAAACATTTAAAATATTTTTTATTAAAAATTTACATGACCTTTTTGGATTCTTTTGTACATAAATATAAAACAACTGAAATTAACATAGAAACTATTCTCATTCCATTTAAGTCTTGATTCCTTCAAGTACAAGATATCTATTATGTACTTTGTTAAAATTATGGTTTCACTTAGATTGACTTTAGTTAACAGCACTGTATATTAAACGGAATATATAAAATGCAACATTAAAATTAAAACCTGCCCACAAGATGGCTAAAACTGTTGTCAGAAGCAGGATAGTGTAACAGCATCAGCCCGAGAGGGGGTTTCCTAACTGTGTCAGGAACTCCTCTTGATCTCTTTGGGGCTCAGTTCTCCCAGAAAAGAAAGAGATGCATTGAATTAGACTAGATGGTATCAAATATCAACATCTTTTCTTCTTCTAAGTTGTATTATTCTAACATCTGTATTTATATTCATTAAGACATTATCAGCTTATTTTCTAATGTAAATATAACTGAAATACTTTACAAAAAATGTGACCTACAAATTTATTCTTTCATTATCCATAGAACCCGAATTCTACCTACTTTGTTCATTAACTTTCTAGACCACTATCCAATGTGGTTCCTTAATAAACTTAAGTTGCTGAGGGCTAAATGATATACTGCTATTCTGAAAGAGTTAAGGCTGCTTTTACAGGCTCCGAATGCAACCGAGTTTTGGGCTAATCTGGCTGAGAAGTCAGTTATTGTAAGAAGCATAATTGCTTTGTATTTTGGATCATTTTTTATTGGGGGTGGAGGGGGAAATTGCATATAAAGAATATACATATATATCCAATTTTCTGAAATAAAGTTTTTAGATTAGTTTTTCCAACTGTAAATAATGTACATTTAATTTCACAGGGAAAAAATGTTTTCTGAAAATTTTCTAGTGTAGCAAAAAATTTTTGTAGATGGAAAATTATGTTTAGAGTCTAATGTTGTATGTTTTCATATACAGAGTGAATTTGTATTTAAACAAAAATTTTAATTTTGGAATCCTAAACGTTTTTGTATCTTTAATTGGTTTATTATTAAATAAATCATGTAAAAAATCCTTAGTGTGTCTGTTTTCAAACACGTTATTTTAAGTGCAGTATACTGAAAATATTAGAAGTATATACAGTGGTATTAACTGGTTATGTAACAAAGTCCATGACAACTCAGGCCAAATTTCTAATGAGATTAGAATTGCAGAAATTTCCTTCGGGTATAAGAAAAGACAGAATCATGCAATTTGCTGTGTGGATGGTTCTGGAGAGCATAGAGCATCGTGCTGAGTGAAGTTAGTCAGGAGAGAGACATACAGAATGATTGCCCTCATATATGGGATATAAAGAAAGATAGGGATATAAAGGCATGCACTCAGATTACTGAGCTATCTCTTTACCTCAGGGCAACAGAAACAATACTGCTTTTTAGCAGGAAGCGTATCATGGCACACTGAAGGGGGCGCACAGTCCTGGGACATGGTGGAGGAAAGCTGACACAGTAGTGGGATCCTATTGTTAGAGTATTTAATGAACGAAATCCTGTCATTATCAATATGTAAATCAGTGTAGCACTGTCCTCCCACTGTTCATCGATTTGCTCGAGCGGGCACCAGTAACGTCTCACAACAAATTGTGAGACTTGTTGTTACTGTTTTTGGCATATTGAATATGTCATGGGTAGCTTAACGTCGTGGGTAGCTTGCCAGGCTTTGCCGTGTGGGCAGAATATTCTCAGTAGTTTGCCGGGCTCTCTGAGAGGGGCGAAGGAATTGAATGCGGGTCGGCCGTGTCAGCTGCGTGCAAGGCAAACGCCTTACCCGCTGTGCTATTGCTCCAGCCCATGTAAATTACAGTGCCTTAAAATTTATTTCCAAAATTTCATTCTCTGTTTTCTGGGTTTTTTTGTTTTTTGTTTTTAAGGTTTGGCATATGTTTTACTCATGGAAGCCAAAGTTCAACCCCTATCACTGCAGAGATCTCCCAAAACTCCTGGACCTCACCAAAGCATCAAGATGAGAATAGCCTCTCACTGGCTATGACTAAAAAACCCAAAATTTGGAAAGCAAACAAAATATTACAAGAAAAACTCAGATCAGAATGTTGTACAGGGATTAAGGCATATGACATATAATGGTCAACCCTAGTTCAATCCCCAGCACCACATGGTCCTTTAAGCACCACTGGGAATGGCCCAGAACCCTTAAAAATATTACTATCTTGGAGCCAGAGAGATAGAACAGCAGGTAGGGCACTTGCCTTGCATGTGGGTGACCCACGTTCAATCCCCAGCGTCCCATATGCTCCCCTAGCCCTGTGAAGAGTTTCCTATGTGCAAAGCCAGAAGTAAGCACTGCCAGGTGTGAACTCCAAACAAAAAATAAGTACAGGTATATTTATATAAATATGCATACATACGTGTGTATGTGTGAATGGGCTCTGGAATAATGCCTGGCTCTACATACATTCAGGAATCACTTCTAGCAGTACTTACGGAACTATATGGGATGCTGGGGATTGAACCCCAGTTGGCCACCTGCAAGGCAAGCGCCCTGCCCTTTGTACTCTCTCTCCAACACCAATAAATAAAAATCAGTACTTGCCTCCCACACTCCACTTTTTTTGCCACATTCAGAAGTACACAGGAACTACTTCCTTGTCTGTGCTTGGGAGCTTTCCCAGTACTGCTGAGGGAGCCAGGCAGTGGAGGGGATCCAACCCCAGGCTCCTGTGTGCAAGGCATGCTCTGGGACTGTTGAGCTACCTCTCTGGTTCCTTAATCCAAAACTCATATACCAGTAATAACTTAATTAGTTTTCTCATGTAAGTTAATCTTCTTTCAAAATACTAAGTATTTTTTAACATGGAACACTTCTTGAATTTTCATGATATGTCTGTGTAGGAGCCATGCTAATCTTCGAGTTGTTCCAATTTTAGCATATATGCTGCTAAGCAAGCACCCAAATTTTAAAGGTCATGTAATAATACTATTATACCATAATCTAGTTAAAGCGCTTTTGGTTGGACAAGTTACTACACAAACATAAATGAACGTATATCCTTGTGTGTCTGGTGCTGGGGATCGAACACAGAGCCTCGCATCTGCAAGGCTACCACTCACAGAGCCTCGCATCTGCAAGGCTACCACTGAGCAATGTCTTGTCGTCTTTTTACTTGAGAAGTTATACTCCTTGAGCACTTTAAATATTTTTATTTAAATTTTTTTAATTTTAATTTTTTGGGGGATTTTTGGGCTACACTAAGCAATGCTCAGTGACTGCTCCTAGCTCTGTACTCAGGAATTACTCCTGTTGGTGCTTGGGGAACCATATGGGATGCTGGGAATTGAACCCAGGCTGGCCATGTGCAAAGCACGCACCCTACCTGCTGTACTGGCTCTCTGGCCCTGCACAGAATTTTTAGAGATTCCATTATTCAATATTTCTGGAGTGTCATATATAATTACCATAACAATTTAGTTAACTAAAGTGTTATTTTAACTAGCTTCCTTTAGTTAACTAAAGTGTTATGGTAATTGTATATGACACTGGCGTAAGCTAGAACAAGCCTAAATATTTTATTTGATATTTTTAATAAGGCTTTCAAAGCTTAATACAATGAAATATTTTGATTAAAACTAAGCACCAGTTACTAAGACCTCTGGCCTTATTTTTACTAACTTTTGTATTGCTGTAGTTTTAATTTTCATTATACTTTTTTCTATGTTTGGGTGAGTTTTTTTTTTTCTTCTGTCTTTATGGTGCCAGGATTTTGAACCCAGATATCATACATGCAAGTCAAGTGCTTTTCCTTTGAGCCACATCCCTGACTCTTGCTTTGCTGATACAATTCATTTAATAAAAAATTGAGTATCTGCACTATTAAGCCCTGTTTCTGGGTCATAGTGAACAGACAGATAAAAGTTCCAACCTTTGTGCTGAGCGATGTTACAGTGAGTAGGGTACTTTCCTTGCATGCAGCTGACCTGGTTTTGAACTTTAGCACCCAGGTGGTCCCCTGAGTGATCCTTGAACACAGAGCCAGGAGTAAACTGGGTTTGGTTTTGGATTTTGTTTTGGAGCCCTCACCTAGCGGTGCTTGGGGACCATATGATGCTGGGGTTGAAACCAGGCCTCACCATGCAAAACATGCTCTCAGCTCTTAGAGATAACTTTCTACGCCCAGATTGAATGTTAAGCTTAAAACACAAATTTCTGGAGCCAGAGTGATAGTACAGTGTGTAAGGTGCTTGCCTTCCATGTGACTGACCCAGATTTGATCTCCAACACCTCATCTGGGTCCCTTGAGCACTGCCAGGAGTGATCCCTGAACGCAGAAACAGGTGTAAGACCTGAGCACCACAGGTGTGGCCCTGAATCAACACAGAAACAAATTTTTTTGGCCCCACTCTTTACCTCCAGAATTTTTATTTTATGGCAAAATGTCTATAGTTTGCATTATTATTTATTTATTTTGCTTTTTGGGTCACACCCGGTGGTGCACAAAGGTTACTCCTGGCTCTGCACTCAGGAGTTACCCCTGGCAGTGCTCAGGGGACCATATGGGATGCTGGGAATTGAACCCGGGTCAGCCGCGTGCAAGGCAAATGCCCTACCTGCTGTGCTATCTCTCCAGCCCGTATAATTTACATTTTTTAAACCAGTACTGTGAGGTTCTTATTAATTCAAACTAATCTCAGAGCAGCAGCTGCAGATTTATGTGAACTTTGTAGAAATGCAGCAACTCAGATCTGATTCCAGACCTAAAATCAGATTCACATTCAAACTAAAGGTTAAGAACTCCTAGATAATTTTAATGTACACTGGGCAAGTTTCACAATCTCTGATCTAGTTAATTGCCCCTTTAAACAACCCCTTGGACCTTATCTCTCAATGCTGCTCTGAATTCAGTCACAAGAAGAAATTATTGGGTGGGATATAACTATGGCCTTACAGAAGTTTTGAAATTAGTATCTAACCTCAAGGTACCCAAGAGACTGCTAACTATTGTAGGTGATGAGTTAGCTCTGGTCATCTGTGAGAACCAGTGGGATTGCTGTTTTGTTTTTTACTTTTTTGAACTTTCAAAACATTTTCATAAAGTTTTTCATAATAATTGTTTACATTCAATATTTCAACACCAATCCCACCACCATTGCACCTTCCCGCCACTATTGCTTTGAATCTTCCCACCACCACCTCAGCCTACCCCTTAGACAGATGCTAAATAATTTATTTTGAATTGGTTGCCATGAATACTATGAAGTGTTGTGAGTCCACTTGGCCGCAAGCTCCTGGAATTCTTAAGTTTTTAAATATTTGGGGTCCAGAGGCATATCTGTGGCGTGCAGCTCTCTTCTGAGATCCATTTGTGAGTTTCTGAATCATGGCTGTTAACGTGCTTAAATGGCGCCAAGAGGCAGTTCTTGGGTATGACTGCCAGGAAAACGGGAAGGGCAGGAGAATGGGGGGAGGTTGCCCATCCCCGATTCCATGAAGTCTGGAGTTTTCAGTCGCTGGTCCCGCATACCTGGATGTTGGGGTCTCATCAGCTAGCTGAGACTTTGGCCAAATCCCCTGCTCCCTGGAAGCAAGAGCCCACCCTGTTTACAAAGACCCAGGGGGCCCGCTCCAGCCCTCCCCTCACGCAGGCACTCTGGTGGGACATGACTGTGCCCACCCCACCCATATTGTAAACTGACCCTAAGAGCAGGATATGTAAATCATTAACAGACATCTGTCCGACCCCTACCTGAGAAACAAGCTGTACGTGGGACTAGCCCCCTCCCTGAGTGTGGGATTGCCCCCCCCCCCAGTGTACTATAAGAACCCCTGGGTAGGGGCCAATAAATGGAGAACTGCTTGACCACCAGACTCCCCCCACCCCACCCCCCACCTTCGTGGTTTTTTTCTCTTGGTGGCAGCGACAGTGACCGTGACAGTCAGCCAGCAGGGCAGGAACCCAGGAATCCCGTGGTGCCCAGAGGGCCAGGGCAGAGGCTTCTCCCCTAGTAAGTCCAGAGACTTCAGGGACCAACACCTGGGTTTTTCAATGGTTTCATTCTCGTGCATGGAGGATTTGGGAAGAGCCTGTGAAGCTTGGCTGTGAGAGTGGCCACGATTGGGTTCTGGAGGTTTGCAGCTGCCAGAGTTCATTTGGGGCAGGTGGAGGGACACACCTGCCCCCCTCCAAGTTACCCTGGTGAAATCAGCTTGGCATGGGGTGGGGAGACATCTCCAGTGTGCTGCTCTCTGAGATTCATCTGTGAGTCTTTAATCATGTCCATTAATGCCCTTAAATGACCTGCTTTTAATCTCTTTTGAGATTTATTTATGGGTCTCTGAAGCAAGGCCAATAAATGAGCTTGTATAGCTGAGCCAGAGGTGGTTTGTGGGCGTGACTCCCACATACCTAACTTTTGGCCATTTAATTTTTCGAGAAACTTGGTCCCAAGTTGTTAGGGTCCAGCCAGACGCACAGTGGCAATTTTGGAGTATCAGGAAGCCTGAAGGCACCATAAGGCTGCTGATGCACTCGTCCTGCAGGTATAGGTTGACCTGCTGGGTGGCACCGTACCCCCTAGGAATTATTGTTTTGGATACAACTACAACCCATTCATGGTATTTGATTCAGGGAGCTGTGCCTTACATTCTGGTATTTTAAGAAAATTTGTCCTAGATTTTCTTTTTGTATGGCACCTGTTTCTCTGATAATCTCTCTTTTTTTTATTTGGGTTGACACTCTGGTCCTCAAGGGCTACTCCGACCTCTCGGGGTTCTGTGTTTGGAGCTGGTGACCCCAGCTATGTGGTTCTGGGTATCTAAGAGCAAAGCATGCTCACTGCCCCTTTGAGCTATTTCCCTGGCCCCCACTCTTGATAATTTTATCCACCTCTGTGGCTTAATCACATCTGACATTCATATCCAATGAATCATGCAATTTAGTAATTTTCCTCCTAAAAAGTTCTTTTGGGGTTGGGAAGATCATTCTAAGAAGTGGAGCACATGCTTTTTGTTTTTCTTTTTGGGTCACACCTGGCGATGCTCAGGGGTTACTCTTGGTTCTTCACTCAGTGGTGTTTGGGGGACCAGATGGGATGCCAGGAATTGAACCTGAGTGGGCAGAGCTAATGCCCTACCTGCTGTACTATCGCTCTGGCCCCAGGAGCACATGTTTTGTCAGGAGCACCACGTTACTCCAAGTTTACTATCAAGTATGGCCCCCAAATAAAGTCTTCATTTGTCTCTTTTCATCTACTTGATTTTACCCTAGTTTAAGCCATCACTTATCTGCGTTGAAAATAAATTGTTTTGTTGAAAATAAGTAGGTTGATTTAAGAATTCTATTTGATATTCTATTGTGTGTGTATTCTATTGTTTAAGTGTATGTATGTGCATAGTTTTGGGGCCACACCTGGCAGTGCTGATTGGACTATGTGGTGCCAGGGATCAAACCTGGGCATATGCTTAGCCTGCTGAATTCTCCCTAGCCCTTCATTTATTCATATTCTAATAGTTTTATTTTTCTTGGTTTTTGTTTTTGGGCCACATCCAGCAGTGCTTAGGACCTGTGGGTGACTCAGTGCTGTGGGTGACTCTGGCAGTGTTCAGGGGACTGAACTCTGACCTCTGGCACGCAAAACATACACTCAAGCGCATTGAGCTAACTCTCCAGCTTCAAATGGTTGCTCAGAGGGATTATGTTTATGGATCATTATAGGAAGAACATCTTAACAATGTTAAATTCTGATCATTTACTGACTATCACTGTCACTGTCCTATTCATCGATTTGCTTGAGCAGACCCAGTAACGTCTCCATTGTGACTATTGTTACTGTGTTTGGCATATCGAATACAATTGTTACTGTGTTTGGCATGGGTAGCTTGCTAGGCTTTTCCGTGTGGGCAAGATACTCTCAGTAGCTTGCCGGGCTCTCCGGGAAGGGCGGCGGAATTGAACTTGGGTCAGCCATGTTGGTCTCTTGCAAGGCAAATGCCCTACCTGCTGTGCTATTGCTCCCGCCCATATGCTGACTACCACACCAATTGTTAAAACATTCTTGGCAAGACAGGGGAGAGAGTACAGCTATAAGAAGCTTGTCTTGCACACAGCCAACACGTTTCTGATCCCTGGCTCAGAGCCAGAACTAAGCTAAGCCCTCAGTACAGCCAGACACGGTCCAAACACTGCAAACAAAGAACATTCTAGGAGTGAGGTTAATGCTTCATCTCTGGTCCCCAGAGTACTACCAGGAGAGAATCCATCTGGGGCTAACTGGCTGGAACACCAGCGCCCTAACCACTGCATTCACTCTGGCATCCCACATTATTTTCTAGCACACTCCCGATTCTGTCTGACATGCCTCTTGTTCAAGTTTCAGAACCGAGGCTCAGGTATTACAACTTTGAGGAATTCACTCCTTTATTCAGCTCAGTGCTCTTTTTTCTTTGTCTGAGGGGTGGGGGTGCGGGTACTATTACACCTCTCATGGCTCATAGTTCCCCTTCCCTCATTTCACCTTGATGAAGAGGCATAAGTTTTTTTTTTTTTTTTTTTTTTTTGCTGTTGTTTTGCAGTGCCAGAGATCCAACCCAGGACCTTATGCATGGAAGTCAGGCACTCCACCACGGGAGTCACATCTGTCGGATCTAAGGTTATTTTTTCCTTTTTCAGTTTTTGGGCCACACAAGGCAGTGCTCAGAGGTTAATTCTAGCTCCAGGCTCAGGAATCACTCCTGGCAAACTGGGGGATTGAGGTGGGGGGGATATAGTAGACCCGGGAATCAAACTCAGGTCGACAACATGCAAGGCAAAAATCCTATCTTCTGTACTGTATCACTCTGATATAGTCAGGTAGACAGGGAAAGGCCCTTGGCAAAGAAACTTAGGTCAACAAAGCTCCTGAGAAGGAAAATTTTAAGACTGATCCACCTTGTGGATACAGAAAACAAAGACCCAATAAAGACCATCGGCAGACCCTGAGGAGATTGGACTCCTCCCCATGAATTTCCTCCCCTTGAAAATTCTTGGGCCCCTCCTTCAATCCGATTAACTTCAGTAATTCAGCCTGGAGAAGACTCCAGAATTTGTAGATCAAGACAATCCGCAAGAGCCTACAAAAGCCATCCTGAACAAAGGAAGGGCCTTCATATGCTGCCCTGGCCGGTGTGCTGCTTGTGCCCACGTGACCGAGTACATGCAGTGCCTGAGCACATGACGCCGCATCTTCCCTCTTGAGATGTAGACTTTTCCGCTTTCCTTTCTAATGCTGGGGTGTGTGGAGAGAGGTAGAGAGGCTCTCTCCACCCTTGCTGAGAAGCCCCAGTTCTCTCTTGAGCGCTTTACTGTCTCTCTTACTTTCCACTCTCTCCCACTTTCGCTTCCTCCTTCCCTTCAGAAACCCTGCAGATAAAATCTGATTTACTTCATTGCTTGTCTACTCCTGAAATTCTTTTCTTCAAGGGAAGACAAGAACCCAGTAACCCTGGGTCCCGGGTGGCAGAAAGTGACTGTCTTTTCCTCTAGACTCATGTGGAGCCACCCATGGGGTCCACCGATATCAAGTCCGGGTCCCCCCACTCCCCAGATTCTTGAGGACATTCACATCTTTGGATCTCACGGTTAGCTAAATTGCTGTTCAGTTACTCAACTCCCTGGATTTAAGCGTTAACTACACCCTTGACTTCCTCGGCTCAGGACTGAGCCACTCCACCCTCCCCTTATTTCCCTTGTGAAACACGCTGGAAGTTGCAATCGACCTGCAACCGGCTCCAAAAGGCGCTCCGGGAGGAGGCTGAAAAGAAAAAAATAAAATAAATAAATATATTAAACCAGCATTCAGGACACCGCCCTCACTTCGCCGCTTCGGGTGTAACAGGTTTTTCTTGGCGAGTTAAGTCAAACAGGAAGAAGCTGGGCCAGCGGGGATGCGGGGCGCGGGGGGACTAGGACCTCACAGCCCGTTCCGAACCACAATCGCTCCCTCCTAAGAGTCTGCAGGGCAGCAGGACTTCCGGCCAGCGCGGGTGCCACGGGGTGGGGTGGGGTGGGGTGTTCCCGGCACCCCATCCCGGCTTCCCAGCGCCCCTATCCCACCCTCCGGAAACCGCGCTCCCGGAAAAAGAACGCCGGGCCGGGAAGGACGTCACGGATCGCAAAAGGCTCCCCCGCCCCCCCTGGAGCCAAGGTGCGAACCGGGGGGCGCCCGCCCGGAGTGCCGGGTGGCCGGGGACATGGACACGCACGCGCAGCCCACCCCCACGCCCCCCACCCCCCGGGACATTTCCCCGTCCCCACCCCCGTCCCGCCGGGCTCCGCGCGCACGCGCGGGCGGCGGCGGCGGCGCGCAGGGGCGGGACCGGCCGGCCACGGGGCCGCGCCGCGCGTCCCTCTCGCCGGTCCTCCACCGTCCCAGCCGGCCCCGCGCTCGCCGCCCGCCTCCCCGCCCCGCGCCGCACGCTGCGTGCCTGCTCGTTGGCTACTTCGGACGGAAGCTCGGTTGGTGTTTCTCTAGAAGTTTCCCCCCCCCTAGGGCGGCGGCGGTGCTCGGGAGCAGCAGCGGCAGCAGCAGCAGCAGCGGGTTCCCTTCGGGCAACTGTGCGGGTGAGGGATGGCGGCAGCTGCAGCAGGACCTGCAACAGCCCCGAGGTGCGTGTCCCCGTCCTCGCTCTTCTGTGTTTGCTCCCCACACTGCCACCACCACTCCCCCACTCCTCTTCCCTTGGCGAGTGACCCCTGCTGAAGTCCTTGTTTTCCTGGCAGGCTCTTCCCGAGCTTCTCAGATGCTCTGATCGACGAGGACCCCCGGGCGGCGTTAGAGGTGAGAGAGATCGGCTCAGCCTCCGGCTCATCGGAAGCGGCCGGGCCGGCTTGCAGGGACCAGGGCTGCTGTTTCCACGTTGTCTCCTCCCGGTTATGGACCTCCCGTCCCCAACCTACCCTCTGTCTCTTCGTTCTCCGTCCTAGACTTTTCCAGCATCCGCCGGGTTCCCTTAGACACAGTGGGCGTGTGGGTGCGTGGTGTGTGTGTGTGTGCGCGCGCGTGTGTATTTCATGACATTTCTGACCCCGAGAAAGAGCGAAGCTAGGCCAGGTGCTTTTCATTTGACAATTACTCTTGCCATTCTTCTGTACCTTGGCGTTGTGCTTAAGTGCTTGGAGGAACTGGGGTAAAAACTTTTTTTTTCCCGTGTGTTCTTAAAATGTTGCAGGGGTCTTCAGCTATTGGTTGTTTTTCTCACTTGTTCGTTCACCAAAACATTTTTCCCCCCTTTTGGAATTGGGGTGCAAGCCACTGTTTGCTGCGGATTCAGGTTTACTACATAAGCTACCCGTATAAAGCAGCTTGTGTTGGCGTGCAGGGAGAGACTAACGCTCTAAGGGGAAGATCATAGAGCAGTAGAGAAGTAACTGAAATCAAGAGAGCCCAAGTTAAGGATGCTTCAGATCACAAAACTTGTGATCTTGCTTTACCGCACAGAAAAGGTAATTCTGTTCGTTTCTTGCACGAGAGAAAGAGAACCTTTCCCCTTCAGCTATGGTTTCTGAGAAGGATTTGCAATGTGGGTGGAAATCTTTGTTGGTGTTTTGTTTGGGCACCACACCTGCAGTACTTAGGGTTTTGTGTTCAGAGCTGTGCCCCTGTGACCATATAAGGTACTGGGAATCAAAACGAGGTGGGCTTAGGGAGATGATTTCTTTGAGTAGAGAAAGGAAGGAATGACTCCAGAAACCGCGGAAACGAGCATCTAAGGCATAAAGAAGAGCCAGTGCTGAGATCCTGAAGGAACAGCAAAAAGGACGTTTTTGACCAGAGTGGATCAAAGATGAGTGAAAGGGGTTGGGGATGTCTCGCAAACCTGCCATGCCTGTATGAAGCCCTAGATTTGATTTCTAGCTCTGGCAATGCAGTGGGGTCAAGATAAGGGGAAAGAGGAAAGCACAGGTGGGCTACGTGGTGTCTCAGTGAGAATTAGAATGTCAGAGGAGGCACTGAGAATTTTCCCCCACAGTTGACTAGATGTGCATTTTCCAGAATCTGTATTCTGGTTCACTTAGTTAAGCCCAATTCCTACTTTTAAAATTGATCTATATAGAATTTCCTTTTATCTTTACTTTGGGCTACACCTGGTGGCACTTTAGTGACTATGTGGTGCCAAAGATCAAACCTGGAACTCCAGCATGCTCAAATCAAAAGCCCAATCTTGGACGTTCCTTTCTTTGGGATCCGGGGTAGAACACTGGGTGTTTAGGGATTATTTGCAGCTTAGTGCTCAGGGTCACTGGAGTCTAAAGCATGCAATCAGCCTATTGATCTCCAGCCACTAAAACTTTCACAGTATACTGGTGTAATGTGTTTCTCTGTCAATCAACATCTTGTTGGGTTTTTTTGTTTGTTTGTTTTTGTTTTTGTTTTGGGGACATACCTGCAGTGCTCAGAGCAGTTTCATGTTTCTGTGCTCTGGGGTCACTTGTGACAGGACTTAGGGAACATAGAGAGTGCCAGGGACGAAACCTGGGTTGACCACGTACAAGGCAAGGACCCTGCCGACTATAGCTCTGGCCCCTCTATGTCTTGTTTTGCTAATTTTTTTTTTTTTGTATAGAAATAGTAGAGCTCTTGAACCTACACAAAGATTTTCACAGATCAGGATTTCTAGAACATGTCTTTAGCAAGTCTCCTAACCTGCTCTTTCCTCTCAATATTTTTCTTGTCAGGTAACTCCTTTACTCTCTCTTACTTATCTCTATCATTTTGTTTATTCTTGCATAATCATCACCAGATACCCAGCTCACTGTATGTATTCTTCCTGCTTTGGGCACATCCATATTGTTGTGTGAAGAGGTTCCTTGCTGTGTAGTATTCCATTATAGAAGTCTAGCCTAATTTATTTCAGCGGTGGACGTTTGGATTATTTTTAGTTATTAGCCAGTGTGAATAAAGCCACTGGAAACTTGTTCATGTATTTTTGTGAACACATGCACTCCTTTCTATGGTATATACCTAGGAATGAATTTCGAGAGTAGGTAGTTAACTTTTGTACTTCGCATCACCTGGGAATTCATTATAAATGTAGATTCTTAGATGACTCCCCCCTACCCCCGCATATGCACAAACCAGGTTTACAGAAATCCTTACAGACACTTAGTACTTCTTACCCTTCCATTTTATACAAGAAAACAGAGAACTGAGACTCAGGTCAAAATGATCACTCATAAAGGGGTCTCAGGACACCTTTCTCTGGTGTGTTATGAAACTGATTATGTTTTCGAACATGTTCACCTGGAACTTTAGAAATTTAAATCATTATAACCTACAATAGATGAATCAGAAACTGGAGTGGGGAGGATTTATTGAGGCGCCACAGCAGTTGGTATTTGATGAAACTGATTATGTTTTCAAACATGTTCACCTGGAACTTTAGAAATTTAAATCATTATAACCTAAAATAGATGAATCAGAAACTGGAGTGGGGAGGATTTATTGAGGCGCCACACCAGTCGGTATTTGGCTCTCCTTGCTCTGTCCAGGAATCCTGGTAGTGCTCTGGGGTCTGTGCTGTGCTCAGTAAGCTGCCCTGGGCTTGTGCCCTTTTTTCTGTTTTTCTTCTTTTTGGGGTCACACCCGGCATTGCACAGGGATCGCTCCTGGCTCACGCACTCAAGAATTACTTTTGGCGGTTTTCGGGGAACCATATGGGATGCTGGGAATCGAATCCGGGTTGGCCACGTGCAAGGCCAACGACCTACCTGCTGTTCTATTGCTCCAGCCCCTGGGCTTGTGTCTTAACCCCTGTACTGTCTTTGGCCCTAGGGGAAGTTTTTTATTTGTAGATGAAAGTGTAGATAATCTTACCAAGATGATTGGTTAAATGTTAATTTCTAAAGAATTTATAATAAGTTGATCAGGAATGTTGTTGAGAACTGAAAGTGTATCCCCTTGGATTTTCCCCCGAGGCTAGTTTTTGAAATTCACATCACTTTTTAAAAAATTTTTTTTAAATGAAATCACCTGTGAGATATCTCCTTATAAAGCTATTTGTGATAGGGTTTCAGTCATTCAGTGGTCCAACACCCATCCCTCCACCTTTGTACGTTTCCCACCACCAATGTCCCCAGTTTCTCTGCCCCTCCCCACCAAATCCTCCCCCACCCTGCTTCTCTTTCTCTTTCTCTCTTTCTCTCTCTCTCTCTCTCTCTCTCTCTCTCTTTCTCTTTCTCTTTCTCTTTCTCTTTCTCTCTGTCTCTCTGTCTCTGTTTCTCATGCACGCATGCTCTCTCTTGCTCTCTCCTGGGCATTTACATCACTTTTTACATGGGGGGGGGGCCACTGGGGAATGTAGGGGCTCATACTTACAAAGCTAATGTGCTACATTCCTGTTCCCAGAATCATTGTTGTGGTTTGGGTCCACACCTAGGCGGTGCTCTGTACTTACTTCTCCCTCTGAGTTCAGGGAGCACTATTGGTGGGGCTCAAGGGGCTATAAGGGATGCCAGAGAGAGAAATCAGGTGAACAACGTGCAAGGCAAACACCCTACCCTCTGTACAATTGCCCAGGCCCCCAAATGTTAGAGTTTTATGAAAGAATATCAGTGATTGGGAGATTGCTCAGGGGTGGGTCCAGGGTGAGTGTGCATGTGTAAGGCTCCGACTTTGATCCCAGCATCTCTCCTAACTAGCACCACTGTGCATGGCCCTTGGAGACTCAAGCACCATCACATCGCTAGGCTCTAGCATTAAACCATCTGGACTTGGTGGCTAAGTATCACCCAGAATGGCTCTTGGCCTCCTGAACATTGGGAGCCCCTACCCCCTACTCCACCCCCCCCCCCCCACACACACACACACTGAAAAATACCATATGGAGCCGGAGCAATAGTACAGTGGGTAGGGTGCTGGGTTTGCACAAGGCCAACTTGGGTTTTGCCCCCAGCACCCCATTTGGTCAAGTAATCCCTGAGCATCATTGGGTATGGCCTGAAAACCCTCCCTCCCCCTGAAAAAGAAAATATGATCCAATAAGTAATGTAAGTAATAAAAGGGAAATATTCTTAAGCTGATTCATATTTTTTAAGGGTTCGGGAAACTATGTACTAAAACTTAGACATTGGTAAATCAATGATAAATTCATTAAAAGATGTAGGCAAAAGTAAAAGAAAACCAGAGTTTTATATACGTTGTATTGAGAACCAGGATATAAAGACACTTAAGACTGCAGTGAGGGAGTTCACAGTCTAAAAGATAGAAAGGACACATCAGCGGATCTTTAAGATTTAAGTATCCTTGCGCTGGAGAGAACTCAAGGGGCCGAGTGCAGGCTTTGCATGTGGGAGACTAGGGTTCGGTCCCTACACGTGCCAGTGTCCTCTTGGCACCCACCAGGAGTGATCAAGGATAGCCACGCGTGGCCCCAAAAGTCCTCCAGTGAAGGTGTGTGTAAAGATGCTGAGCTTGGCGGAGACTGGAACAGTCAGGAAGTTTCAGTTCAGTAGGGAAAAAAGATAGAAGGATTCAGTGAAAAGACAGACAGACATGGAATGACCTCTGTCATATGTGGGAAATAAGTAAGCACAGTAGGGAGTAACCTGCCCAAAGGCCTGGAAACTGAGCATGCTCATTTCCAGTAGGAAGCCTCAGGGTGGGGAGGCGGGTGGGAAGGGTCACGCCGGAGACTGATGCCGGGCATAGCAGTTTTGTAAATCATGGTACCTAAGATAAAATAAAATTTATAAAATACGTGGAATCTGAGGCTCTTGAGGGGGCCCGCTATGGAGAGTTGTGAAGATTGTGGGCTCTGGAGTCACACCGATTGGCTCTAAATCCTAGTTTCATAATTATAATCTCAGAAAATTTTCTGTTGTACCCTGAATCATATTTTCCAACAAGGAAATGGAATTAAATAGGACCTATAGTAATTTTTTTAAATGAAAAGTAATTTCCATGGCGAGGTCTTTGGAGGTATAAAGGTAAAGGCCCTCCCGTTGTTCATTGATTTGCTCGAGCAGGCCCAGTAACGTCTCCATTGGAGACTTTGTTGTTACTGTGTTTGGCATATTGAATACGTCCTGGGGAGCTTGCCAGGCTTTGCCATGCAGGCGAGATACTCTCCGTAGTTTGCCGAGCTCTCCAAGAGGGGTGGAGGAATCGAATTCGGGTCGACCATGTTGGCTGCGTGCAAGGCAAACGCCCTACTGCTGTGCTATCGCTCCAGCCCCAAATGCCCTAATGCCCTCCAAATGCCCTACCGCTGTGCTATCGCTCCATACCTTTGGAGGTATAGATGACTTTTTTTGCTTTGTGAGTTCTAGCTACACCTTCTTTTTCTTTGGGCGGTCGGAGGGGCACACCTGTCACTTGCTCAGGGTTCACACCTGGCTCTGCTCAGAGGTCAGTCCTAGTGGTGCTCAAGGGATCAAGCATACCTGCTGTAACATTACTTCCACTTCAGTTTTTTGTTGCCGTTGACTTGAATGTGTTAATCCCAACCCTGGTGGAGGGCCTTTGGAACTTTAGGGTTTTTTTTTCTTTCTGAAGTATATTTTCTCTGACCTGGTTCTTGTATGGAGAGTCTCATCGCCTTAAATTTTAGCTGAAATGTTACCTCAGAAGCTGTGTTCTCTCTGAGCACCCCAAGTTAGACCAGTGTGTATAAGTTTAAGGAGAACAGGGGTCTTGTGCATCTTACTGCTGTGTATTCAGTGTGGTAGCCCAGGATGCAGTAGATACCAGATGCCTACCAGTAGATGCCTACCAGAATTCTTGAAAAATTCTTAAGTATTTTCCTAATACTTAAGAAAAATTAATACTTAAAAAGTTTTTCTTTTGATTATTTGAGTTATCAGTACTTCTCATACCAAAATGATAAAAAAAAAATTTTTTTGTGCTTGTATTTTATAGTTCACCAGATTACTGTCAAGAATTTTAAATTGTTTTACTTTAACATAAAGGATTTTTTTTATGTGAATGTAATTGTTGGACATGTTTACATTTTTGTGTAGGTCTACGCTCAATAATAGCCTTTGCTACTGAATTCTTAGCGTTTGGGATACCTCCCGTTACTTGAATAACCAGCAACTGTTGTTACAGAAACAGAATGCTGAAAAAGTGCCACAGTCACAAAGTATGGTTTTTGCTTCACTTTTCCTATTCTTTTATATTGCTTATTCAGAATAAACTCTGTAGTGACTTCTCAGTTTGTGTGTCAGATGTTCAGTTTGTGTTTGGCTTGTTTTGGTAAATTTTTAAGCAGCCAAAGAAGTTACTCGCTTAGTTTATTTAATCACCATAACAGGTCCTGCCTTGTGGGGGGTTGTTGTCTGGGCATCACTCAGTGGTGATCAGGAATGTCCCTTGGTGGTGCTGAGGATTCTGAGGGGGCTCTAACCAGGATCAGCGGCATGCAGGCTAAGGGCCTTACGTCCTATACCTGCTGGCCCCTTTTTTTAAAAAAACAATTTTTTTATGTAGGAGTACTGCTATTTATTCAGCCACTGATTAGCTGATTGAATTGTGCATGAACTCCACCTTACTTTTTTTTTCATTTTTTATAATTTTATTTATTGAATCACCATGAGAGCAGTTACAAAGCTTTCGGGTTTAAGTCTCGGTCATACAATGAAACACCTGTACCTTCACCAGTGCCCGTTCTCCACCCCCAACAACCCCAGTATACCCCCATCCCACACCCTCCCCCTACCCGTGGGGCAGATGATTTCCGCATTACTTTCTCTCTCTACTTTGATCACGTTCAATACTTTGACACCAGACCCACCATTATTATTTGAGATTTTACCCCAACACTCAGATCTGCTGAAAAAGGCAATAGTGGACAATTTGTTTTCTATTGCTGGTTATGAATAACATATGATGTTGCATTGTTTTTAAAGGTCATTTTAACTTGGTTGGTTGTAATTCAGAAGTTTTTAGGGCCAGAAAGCTAGTACAAGAATCAGGCACTTGCCTCTGTGGGCCCCTGAGCACTGCCAGTATTGATCTCTGAGAGTAGACCTAGGATACCGCACCCTTCCCCCCCCAAGCTTGGCTGGGTATGTCCAAAAATATAAAAATAAGTAAAAAAATTTTAAGTGAGTGATTTTTTTATGACTCTTTAAAAAGAATATCATTTGATTTATTATACCATACCAGTTTATTGCCTATGCTTAAAGTGTATCTTAAATACTTGTAAATGGGTGATCCAGGTACTGAATTGTAACAGCCTTTTATGTCCATAATATACCACTTTCTCGCTGAGTAAAGGCTACTAATTTAGTTAAAAGATATATCTGAGTAGAGAGGTATCAGGTGTTCTCAAAATTGAAAATTTAGCACAAGATGGTATGCAGCCTAGGAATTTCAAAGTCTAGAAAAAAATAAAGAACATCAAATGATGTGTGAAAGAAACTTATTAAGAATTACCAATAGAGGAACTGGAGCGATAGCACAGTGGATAGGGCATTTGCCTTTTACGCAGCCAACCCAGGTTCGATTCCCAGCATCCCATATGGCCCCCTGAGCACCACCAGGGATAATTCCCGAGTGCAGAGCCAGGAGTGATCCCTGTGCATCTCCAGGTGTGACCCAAAAAGAAAAAATAAAAGAATTACCAAGAAACTTGGTTTGTGGTTAGTAGTTAAAATTCAGTTTTGGGAAGCTGGGGATGTCTATAGCTTAGGATAGAAATATAGGCTTTGCAAATTCTGGATTTGATCTCTGGTACCCCCCTCCCCCTCACCCTCCAAAGCTAATTTGGAATCAGATGTGAGTATGAATCCTGTCTTTGGCACAGTTTTGTCACTAAGTAACTAGGAAGTGAGGGAATGGCTTTTTGATGCACATCTAGGGAGAAGCGGATTCTAGTGAGAAAGCAGTAGGATACAAAGTCCTGAAGTGTGTGTAAGACTGAATGGGGGACACCTCTGTGGCTAGAATTGGTGACCGGGACAGGAGAAACAAAGATGAGAGCAGAGATGTGGTAGGCTCTCTTGCCGGCAAAAGGAAGGTAGGTCTTGGGAGGTCCTGGGTTTTTGCCCAAGTCCAGTCAGAGTGAGGAAAGACCTTGGGGGAAGTTTTATGCAGAGACATGATTTGATTTTCCAATAGGTGATAGGAATGAAGATAGTAAAAAGCAGGTTGTATGTTAGATATATTGTGTTTTAGATAAGTGATTATCAAGTTTGATGTAGTGAATGCATTTGCTTTGTGAGAGTCACATTATCAGGATAAGGAAATTGAATGACACCTGTGACTGTTGAACTATTGTACACAAACCACAAAATAAATTCAGAGGTAATGATAAAGTGTTTCTGCTCTGCCGCCTCACCGGTCCTGCTCTCTTGAGTCTTTGTTGTTACCCTTTGTTCACTGTTTGTTGTTACTATTTATTTATTGTTACTACCCAAGGTAGCAAAAGTTTCAATCTATGTAATGTGAACTGGATCTGTTGGTAGTAGTGCTCCTATGAGCTGGGCTTTCTATAGACTGCTGTTAAGGTTTTAGGGTTCTCTGCTATTGATAGGAAAGGGCCAGTTAAGTCAGGTTGTGTATTTATGAATTCTGTTAACCTCTTTGACCTTAGATTTAATTTCCAGGTTTTTGTTTTTCCTATTGGACAGCCTTAGGTTTTCTTGGCATGTCAAATTCTACACAGGGTCTTCTTTTAATTAGAAGTAGAAAATCTATGATGGTCTGTGTATACCAGCTACACTCTTTGGAGTAAATGGGATGACAATAATGACCATTTATTGAGGCCCTATGATAGATCAGTAACCAAATGCTTTACACAAATAATATAATAGATTTTTACTTTTGTGGGAAGAACAGAGTAGAAAAGGAAATACTGATCCTCTTGCAATATAAGTTCCTGGCTTACTCTCCTTTTGTTTTTATCTCTAGATAGGATACGATAAAAGATTATTTGATTAAAAACCACATTTAATTAAAATTCAGTAGCTTGATGGGCATTTGCTGACACTCAATATGTTTATTTTTACAGGAGCTGACTAAGGCTTTGGAACAGAAATCAGATGATGCCCAATATTACTGTCAAAGAGCTTATTGTCACATTCTTCTTGGGAATTACTGTGGTAACTTTTCTTACAAAGTATATCTTTTTTTCTTTATATGTTAACTACACCTTTTGCTCAAGAGAAGGTGAATCAAATAGGAGATTCTCTTTAATGATACAAATTGATTTTGGGCGTGGAGATTGTGTGAAGGATACTGGAGCACATATTTTGCATATGAGAGGGCCCAGCGTGGTTGCCTGCCATCTCATCTAGCTGGGAGCACCCCCTGACCACCAGGTGTAGCCTCAAAGTCTCCCCACATTTTTATTTCCCAGTATTACTTTTGTAACTAGTCTGGTTAAAATGAGTCTAGGTAGGGAAAAATTCATACATGGAGTCAGAATATGTAAGTGACCAATGAGATGATGAGATAAACTTTGTGATACAGTACTGGATTGGCTCAGAGATTTAAGACAAAAACTAAATATTAAGACAATGGGAAAGTATGAGGGTAGCGTTTATTTGAATTTTATCTTAGGTTAGCATTTCCTGATATAAGCAATTTGTTCATTTTTTTTTTCAGCTTGAAGTATTTAAAATATAAGTGAATCTGAAATTTGTAATATTTGTTAGGAATAATAAGTAACTGACTAAAAATGCTATTTTTTTCATACACAGATGCTATTGTTGATGCAAAGAAATCTCTTGAACTTAATCCAAATAATGCCTCTGCTATGCTGAGAAAAGGGTATGAATAACTACTCTTCTTGTTGGATCTGGACTGTAGAGGGTTGGATTTGTTAAATGAATTCATTGTAGGCTTTATGTAAATAGGAAATTTTGTGTTTGTGCATTTTATATCTAAGATGGGATTTAATTTAAAATGCAATTTATGTTCTGTTGTGATGAGAGATCTGTTTGTGTTTTAAAATAGTAATGATTGAACTAACTGCGAGATAGAGATGACACAGATGGATTTGAAATTGCTGTTCAGTGCATTATTTGGAATTTACTGTATTTAAAAAGTATCCTTTTCATGAGGATAGGATACAACCAGTTGGATAGGCTACATTTAATTGCTATGGAAACTGGATGTACTTTATATTTCAGTTTGTTTCTGATAAGTGTGACTTGATTATTTAAATGAGAAATTTGAAAAATGTGTTTAACTCCTTAGAATTTTGGCACAAACAAGTATATGCAACAGATTGCTTCAGCAGTGAGTTCCAAAGTTACACTTTAGTGGGATTATGCCGGTTGTCCACTAATTTTTTGGTTTTGAAGCTATACCCAGCTATGCTCAGGTGCTCCCCAGCTCGGTACTCAGGGGTCACTCCTGGTTGAGGTTGGGAGATTGTGTGATGCCAAGGATTGAATTTTGGTCTGCTGCATACATAGCATGCACTCAGCCATTGAATCATTTTGCTGGCCCAGATTGCACTATTTTTGGTAGGAGCCTGTTCTGGGGTTTCTTGGCTTATCATTAGTTTTATATTTTTAACAGATAAGTAGGAATTTTTATTTAGAAAGGCTTTGTATCATCACCTTATGTATGTGGTATTTGTTTTCAATATGCTTATGCAGGATTTGTGAATACCATGAAAAAAACTATGCTGCTGCTCTAGAAAGTTTCACAGAAGGACAGAAATTAGATAGTAAGTATTAGAACTTTGGTAATAATAATCTCTTATTTCTATGTGTCTCGATGCATAACTAATTTTTTTACATGCAATCTAATTATAGAAACCTTTTTTTCTACCCTTAATGACATTTCGTGTTGATTGCAAAATGTGAATTTAGTTAAGTGATTAAATTGGCCTTTAGCATTCAAGTCACAGATAAACTTTGCCATTAGAAGATAAAAGTATAAACACTCAGCTTGTTTTTCAAGCCCGTGTTCTCCCTTGACGACATCTTGCTTGCTTTTCTCTGTGTTTCATTGCTTACCTATTTTCACTCTGGAAAAGCCTGTTTCTCTCTCAAATATGTGCTTCTGCCTTTCTCTCCCTTCACATCTTGCTAAGTTTCAATAAAATCTTTTTTTGCTTCACCCCCCCCCCCCCCACCAAAAGTATAAACACTCAGTGTGCTCCCTTTAGTGTGACTTATTTTCTCGTGGAAATCTAAGTATAATTTTTCCTCATGTTTTAAGAGTTTTTATTCAAATTGCTGAAAAAAGAAATGTGTTTTGAGGGCTGGGGGCCACACACAGTGGTGCTCGGGGCTTACTCCTTTAACTCCATGAGATAGGTTATTGAAAGCATTTTATCAAAGTAAAATGTGAGTCTGAATAAGCTCTAAATAGGTGAAGAACTACAGAAGAAGCGTGGAACGTTGTAGTACTGAATGATTTGTTTGGGGGCCCACCTGGCAGTACTAAGGGCTTGCTCCTGGCTCTGTGCTCTGAGATCACTTCGGGTGGGGCCTGGGGGACCATATATAAATGCTGGGAATTGATTCCGGTTCAGCTGCATGCGAAGCAAAAACACTACTACACCATGAGAGTACCTCTTTTTTTTTTTTCCTCTGGTTTTGGGACCAGACACAGTGATGCACAGGGTTACTCCTGGTGTTGCTTGGGGGACCATATGGGATGCCAGAGATCAGATCTAGGTCAGGCACGTACAAGGCAAACGCCCTACTGGCTGCACTTTTTCTCCGGCTCCAGTATTTCACTTTAGATGTCATCTTTTTGGGAGGCAAATAAGAAAAGTATCACAGCAGTGTGGTTACGCAGATTCATACATAATCTAGAAAGTGGAAGAATCAAGAATTTTAAAATCTGCAAAATACCGGATGAGATTATAATCTGTCTCAGATAATTCTGTGTTACGGATTTTTCGGCTCTCCTCTGATGACAAGGCTCACTCACAGTCCTGGCTGTGGACCTCTCAGCTGTGCTTGCCATCAGCTTGTGGTGCTTGTGTGCTTCGCCATAGTGCTTACCAGGTTTATAGTTCTTTATGGTTATGGTGCTTGCCCATTGTTTGTTAGTGCTGTGAGCGAACATACTTGCTCACTGGCAACTCTCATGTTCTTTTAGGGTGTGGTACTCCCTGGAGTTTGTAGTTCTTGTACATACCTGGATTTGGGCAGCAGAAAGTCACTTGGAGTGCCAAGGACTGCAGACTACAAGCTGCCAGACACAGTTCTATCCCAGAATAGAATCCTAGCCTTACGCTTGCAGGGCAGGTGCTAAGCCACTGAGCTCTGTGTACTGTGTTATCTTTGATAATTGAGTATCACAGTTCTGTACAGCAGCGGTTCCTAACTGGGGAATGATTGTACTCGCTGTGGGACATTTGGCAGTGTCTGAAGAGTTTATTGATGACCATCACTCGTGGGTGGGGAGTGTGCTATTGACTTGTAGTGAGCAGAGGCCAGGATGCTGATGAGCATCTGGAATGCTCAGGTCAGGCCCCTAACAGAGCGCTCTCGTTAAGAATGTCAGTCATGCTGGAGATGGAGAAGCTAGGACCTAGAGCAACATTTCCTAACCCTCTTCTAACTGTGGCCCGTTTCCACTTTTGTTTCCTCCCTGTGGCCTCCCCCTACACCCCTTCCTCTCATCCTGCCTGTTGGCTGTCTAGTCTCACGCTGTGGCTCCCCATTACATAATTTTCACCTGTGGAACCCTTGGCAGATTATGGGGATTCACAGGGATCCACAGCAGGGGTTATACAGCCTCAAGCTGAGAAGTGCTACCTTAATTATATTTTACAAAATTTATTCTCGAGTCAAGAGAAACTCTGGGCCGAGCACAGACTTTTCATGCTGCAGCTTAAGTTTAGTCTCTGGCATCTTATACTCCCCGGAGCACTGGGTTGGGAGTAGCCAACCCAAGCACCACCAAGTGAGATCCTCCCCCCCTCCCCCCGGGGAAAAGTAAAAGCCCAAATAAATTTTTAGGGCTGATGTGTGTGTGATTCAGTAATGGAGCACCTGCCTTGCATGTGTAGTTCTGCATTTGAACCCAAGCTCCAAGCCAGGAGTAGCCCTGAGCATAGACAGTGTGGCCCCCAAACAAAGAATCTTTGACTGTCTTGCTTAGGATATTGTTTTTCTGCTCTTACCTACCTGAGAAAGGCCCAGCTTTGCGAAAGGAACTGAGAAATTAGGAAAGGAGATTTAAATTATCGGAACTACTTCAAATTGTGGCAGCAGTATAACATGGCTAATTAGCATATCAGTGTATCTGCACTATTAGAAATTCTAGTTCAGATTTACGGATTTCTTTCATTGTTGTTTTGAAGGACCTCAGGAGGCCGTATGGTGGTGCTGGAGATCAGATCTGGAACTAACCTTGTGTGTTGGGCACATACTCCAGCCTTTTCTCTCTCTCTTCTTTTTTCTTTCTTTTTTAAAAAAATTATTATTGTCTTTGGGCCACACTTGGTGGTACTCTGCACTCAGGGATCACTCCTGGCAGGTTTGGGGGACAGTTTGGGCTGCAGAGGATCAAACCACGGTTGCTCAAGTTAAGGCAGGTGCCTTACCTGCTGTACTGTCTCTCCGCCCCATTCTGTCTTTGTGCTCCTACCCTTCCTCCCTCTTCTGCCGCTCTGGTCGTCACGACTCGCTGTGGTCGTCCCGACTCGTGCGTTGCATACTTTCAGTTGCGGTTCTCATCCTGTGCCCACACTCTTCACACTCTGCCGGAGCAGTGCTCGTGCACACATGGCTGCGGGGTGCGGGGTGCTAGCCAGCCTGATGCCACTGCAGTGTGGGGAGTTGTGTAGCAGCTTTAAACCCCTGTACTACCTCTCATCTCTAACAGTTTTTTTTTCTTAAATCAAAATAATTTAGGTTTATGGTTAAACCTACGGCACATTTATAGCGATAAAATTAAGATGATTATAACTGGTTTTGTTAGCACAGTATTTTTATCTGTTTAGTTCACTGCTAAATCTCCAGTACCAAACACAAGTCAGTGGAGCTGCTGAGATCACATGCAGCCTGTGGGGGTGGCAGCCACCAGCTAGGGTTTGCATTCCTGGCATTATGATTTCACAGTGCTTTGCCACCAGGCTGTCTTTAAACCCCCTCAGAGCTCTCTTAATAAATTTTCTCAGCATTGTATTTATTAGATCTTGTGATTCTTTAGATACTATCTTCTGAGTCTTGAAAGTGGATAAGTTGCTAATATGTGCCTTTACATTGGTACCTGTTAGTGTCCAATTCTCTATAATACACAGGACTCGAAGATAGCTAGGACAAGTTTAGAAGTGTGGAGATGCTTCTTGATGATACTAGGGAAAGTATGTTCACAGGTAAAGCCCCTGAGGGCTTAGTAGAATGGGGAGATAGCTGCTGTGGAGAGCAAATTGGGTGTAGAACAACTTACGGACATTGGGGTTAGGACAGATTTATGGACTGGAGGAGAGACTTACGGACCAAACTTCCAGTCTTAGGGCGTCTGCCCCATGCTAACGATGTGCTGGGAATCTTGAGGCAGGCCTGATTTTGATGTGGAAGAAGAATAAGAAATGTAGAATATCTGTATTCGGGAACTGTAAGCTTGGAAGTGGTTAAAACGTCTTTGAGGGGGCGGGGAGATCTCCATGGCTGCACTCTGCAGTGCTTGGGGGTTGGGGAGTGGGCGGCATGTGAGGCAAGGGATCAAATGAGCTCGCATCCTAACCCCTGGACTACTTCTCATCCCTAATAGTTGGGTTTTTTTTCATTTTTTATAAATCATAATTCTTTAGATTAATGGTTAAAGCTACTGGCACATTTATAGCAATAAAATTAAGATAACTATAACTAATTGTTAGACAGTATTTTTATCTGTCTGATTCACTACTGAATCTCCAGTACCTAAAAGAAGAGTTTGAAACACAGTAAATGTTCATTAAGTACTTTTTACATGGATATGTTCTTTTGTGCAGTGGTTATAATCGTTTTGTTCTCTAGGTGCAGATGCTGATTTTATTGTCTGGATTAAAAGGTGTCAGGAAGCTCAGAATGGTAAGGCTGTCTTTTTCATGCCATCTTTCAGTTTAAGAACTGAATGTGTCACACTGCTTTGGTTTAAAAAATATGTCTATTGGTTGTAATTTATCATTTAAGAAGCACAGGTTGTTTGAGGTAGGAATTTCCCCAAATTTCCTGATTTTCTTTTTCCAATTTTTAGTAAGGGACCATGATTCCAAAAGTATTTTGATTTTTGTCTAATTTAAACGGGGATTTGGACAGATTTGTTTTGAAATAGTGTTACTGGAAAGAAATTACAAAGGAGTCGAAAGTTACTCCAGGAATGCAAATCACTTTCCTTTTTTCTGCTGTATCATTTGTTTTTTCTGTATATTTATTATTCTGTATATTGGTTTGTTCTTTATACTTATTGACATAATAATGCACTTTTGCCTATGGTTGTACTGATAATGCTTTCTTTTCATGTTTTTATAGGATCACAATCTGAGGTGGTAAGTCTAAAGTTGTTTTCTTGGGCCATACTGTGGTGCTCAGGACTTACTCCTATAGAGTAGATTTACTTGTTTTCTTCCTGGAATCCTCCTATCTTCTCATTTAGGGTCAATTGAGATATCACCCCCAAGCTAGAGCAAGTATGTGCTTATCTGTTCCTAAACTGGTCCACACATGGCTTAGGGTGTGCAGTTGCCATGGTTAAGCCTGAAGGCTATACTGTGTTGCAACGATGTTTTTTTTTCAGGGCTGGGAAGATGGTTGAAAGTGCTAGAGTGCACACGCTTTGTATGCAGGAACCCTAGTTCAATACCTGGTAGTACCACGTGGTCTTAACAGTGGTTCAATAAAAAAAAGAGATTTGACTGGGTAGGGTGTTTGCCTTGCACATGGCTGACCCCGGTTTGATTCCTCCATTCCTCTTGGAGAGCTGGGCGAGGACAGTGCCACAGTGAGAAGAGAGAGGAATTTGTGTTCAAGATGAACAAAGGCTTTTCCAGAGTGGAAAATGTCCACTCCCCCCCCCGCCCCCAGTTTTTTTTTTTTTATAATGTTATCAGTCTCACAGAACTGGGTGTTAATGGTTTTGTTTTTACATTTTTTGTTTTTAATTAAAAAAATTTGGGAGGGGCCCACAACCAGTGATTCTCAGGGGTTATTCCTGACTCTGCACTCAGAAATTATTTCTGGTGGTGTTCAGGGGACCACATGGGATACCAGGAATTGAATCCGAATCAGCCAAGTGGAAGGCAGGCACCCTGTCCGCTGGACTGTCACTCTGGAAGAACTGGATGTTTTCATATGTAAAGTTTTCCATTGACGTTTTAGAAAATGTTCTGTTTTTTAATACTGTTACTTAAGAAAGTGTATAAAATTGAAACTAATTATAAAGATGACTTTATTTTTTTGTGAAGATTGGCTATTTAATACTTAGACCATGCTTTGTCTTTTAAGGAAGTTTTCATTTAATATTTCATAGAAAAGAAACTAGCATTAAGTAAATGATAGATTCATTTTAATTTTAATACATGGCCGCTAAACTAATGTGTAAATTTCTTTCTCCTTCAATTTGTTGAAATCAGTCTGCATCCCAGCAGACTCACCAGTCAAAAATCAAGTAAGTATTTGTTTTTCTCAAACTATTTATGTGTGTCTGCATGATTAAGAGATGTTGGGGAGATGTGGGACCTTGTTTAATAGTCATTTGAAAACAGTTGTGTTGTCACCTTGAAAAATTAATTGTAAGGCTGCTTACTTGTATTATTGCTTGCTTTATTATTATTATTATTTCATTTTACTAGCATGTACCGTTGAATTTAAATAACTTCTCAACTTAAACTAGCCCCATTCAGATATACGTCACCTTTCCACCTATTAAGGAGAGCCTTTTTAGATTATTATTGTCCCCGTTAATTACTAGTAAGCTTGAAAATATTGCAACTTTACCTGACTTTTATTTTGGTTTGTGAGTCTTCCCTAGCTCTGCCAATGGCCACTTCCAGGCGGTGCTTGGGGGACCGTATCTTTGGGGACGGACCCTAGTTCTTTTGCACGCAAAGCATGTACTTTGCCTGTTGAGCTTGCACTCTAACTCTGGAGTAAATGCTTCATAGGATAATTTTGCATGAGTTGGAAATAACAGTTGCTGAAGGCAGCAATTATAATAATGAAGAAACATTCAGCAAGTATTTGAATTTTAAATTATTCATTAGCAATATGTACGACTTGTATTCTTAGTATTCTTGATAAGAGGAAGAAACACATTTGTATATAGCTTTTATCCTCACTGAATTTCAAAGGAAAACTGAGGTTTTTAAGTTCATTTCTTTACTGAAGGTACTTTTCGACATGATTACCTACAGTAGCTTAGGAATACTGAAATATCTTTTTGTTCTTTCTGTAGATACACAGAATAACTCTGGCAGGTACTTTGTAGACAAGGACCTTTGATTAGCATGGTTGACATCACCAGAGGAGAGGCAGGACAAATAAACATCAAATAATAATAATGTTTGGAACATGAAATAAAACAATAGTAGTTTAATAAATATGTTGTATGGGACACTGTGCTTAGTCTCAGAAAAGCAGTAACAGCACAATAGATAAATAGCTGAGAGTTTGTAATCTTATTTTTTAAATTTTTATTTATTTTTTTGTGTCACACCTGGCAATGCTCAGGGGTTACTCCTGGCTCATGTACTCAGGAATTACTCCTGGTGGTGTATAGGGGACCATATTGATGCTGGGAATCGAACCCAGGTCACCACATGCAAGGCCCTACCCGCTGTGCTATTGCTCCAGCCCCCTGTAATCTTATTTGAAGGCATGTGAGTTCCTATATTTTAAGTTTTCAGTGGGAAAGATACATATGATTAGAATCTCTAGGTATAAGTTTTTTCCATGTACCTTGAGACTTTGGAAAGATTAATACTGTGTTTGAGTTCAAATTGCTCTAATTTTGCCTCAGTTGCTTTGTTCCATGGACTGGAGCAATAGCACAGTGGTAGGGCGTTTGCCTTGCGCGCAGCCGGCCCGTCCGAGCCAGGTTTGATTCCTCTGCCCCTCTCAGAGAGCCCGGCTAGCTACCAAGAGTATCTCGCCTGCACGGCAAAGCCAGGCAAGCTCCCCGTGACGTATTCGACCTGCCAAACACAGTAACAATATGTCTCACAATGCAGATGTTACTGGGCTCGCTCGAGCAAATCGATGAGCAACGGGAGGACAGTGCTACAGTGCAGTGCAGTGCTTTGTTCCATGTGCTAGGGATGTTTGTACTCAGTTCAAGTTAGATTTTGGAGTTAGTGGATTGAGGGGATAACTCAAAGGGCCACTTAACTGCTTTGCATGCTGGAGACCTGGATTCGGTCCCTGGAACCACATGGTCCCTGCCAAACACCCAAGCCAGGAGTAGCCCCTGCACACCACCTTGGGAGGCCCCAAAACCTAGAGATTCATTAACAAAAGAGATCTTGGAGTAACTTGGGTTCAAATTTAGGCTGGCCTGAATCCAGTATTATGCCTGCCCATTCATTGCTTCACCTTCAGAGTTTTAGGGTTTTTTCATCTGTAAAATAGGGTTAGAAATTTTGAAATGGGAGTATAAAAACTATTAGATGAAAATGAGTCTAAGCTATTGATACTATCTTATCAATTTAAACTGTTCAGAGCAAATTTTATCTTTCAACATCAGCTGAAGTACAACATTCTTAGAGATAGAAATCAGAACCCAGACTAGTTACTGTCTAAGTATTTATGGGCACAAGATGTATTTGTGTATTCATCTACCTCATCTACCTTACAGTACTCTTGCACAGCACAGATAGATAATTGATGGAATTAACATAAACTTGTATCTGCTGATCAACAGCTGCTTTGCTGTGTTGCTCCTCAAGGTGGAGCTCTTGTGGTTTATCTTTTAATTTTAATTTCAACAAAACAAAGCAGCAATATCTTTAACAAAACCTTACATTTCTTTTCTCTTTTTAATAGGTATGATTGGTATCAAACAGATTCTCAAGTAATCATTACACTTATGATCAAGAATGTTCAGAAGAATGATGTAAATGTGGAATTTTCAGAAAAAGAGGTCATTATATAATCTTTAAACGATTTTATGTGGATTAAATGATTTTATTTGCAAATATAGTATATCGTACAATAATCTTTGGGGCGGTGGAGTTGGGCCACACCCAGTGGTGCGCAGGGGTAACTCCTGGCTCTGCACTCAGGAGCTGATTTTTCTCTTTGTTCTTGGGCCACACTGGGAGGTGCTCAGGGTTTACTCCTGGCTTTATTTAGAGATCACTCACGTTGTACCTGGCAGACCACATGCAGTGCTTGGGGGACCTGCTGCCAGGGATTTAACCAGGTGGGATTAGGTGCACGGCAACCCTTGTACTCTCTCTGGACCCTGCTTCTTTTGGCAGATTGTCAGATTGTCAGATTCATGTCATGTGATAATGTGGCAGATGCTACTAAAATTTAGAGAAATTCACTGTAGTATAGCTGGATATGTGCTTCAGATTTTGAATTACATTTCAATTAAGACTGGAACTTGCAGGGCTGGAGAAGTCTATAAGGGTTAAGGCACACACCTTGTGTGTGTCACCTCAAATTGAGGGGAACTACCTGAGCATGGGGGGCGGGACTCTCCCCTTGTTGATCACCTCCAGTGACTTTGGTAATCCCTGGCTTTGCAGGGCCCGGTAGCACTGCAGCCTCAGACTCTCAAAAACTGCAGATTGAGAATCACCAGGAGGGATTTTGAGCACTGCTTGGGAGATTCCCCCCACCAAAAAAAAAAAACACCAAAAAAACCAAAAATAACCCTTGGTGCCAGAGTGATCGGATAGTGAGTAGGGCCACATGCTTTGCATGTGGCTGACCTGGCACTCCATATGTTCCCTTTAGCCCTCCATATGTTCCCTTTAGCCCACCAGGAGTGATCCCTGAGTATAGAGCCAGGAGTAGGCCATGAGCAAACAAACACACTTGATTGATAGAGTAGACATAAGTAATAGGTAATTAGGTTATATTTATATTCTCTACTTAATGAAAAAAGTCTGTTCTGTGGTTTATACATTTAGAATTTACTAATGTTAAGTGACTGGGACGTTAAATAATTTGTTATATGGCAGAAAACCTTATGAAAGATTTTTCTTTTTCTGTTTTTTGTGGTGGAGGGTCACACTCAGAGATGCTCAGGGGTTACTCCTGACTATGTACTCAGGAATCACTCGTGGCAGTGCTTGGGGAGCCATATGGGATGCCAGGAATTGAACCTGGGTCAGCCATTTGCAATGGAAACGCCCTACTTGCTGTACTATCTCTCTGGTCTCAGAAAATGTTATGAAAGATTTTTAAGAGTATTGGCAGAACTAGATGTTTTGCATATGAATATTTTTCACTGTAGACGGTGTCTTTTGCTCTTTTACATTGAGTTACCTTGAGATTAGACCAACATTCCTCAACATTTTCTATCTACAGACCAACACTTGTACTGCCTACTCACGTACAAGTCACAGTTTACAACCAAGGCAATAAACCAGTGGTTTTTATCCTTTTTATGCCCATGGACTGGCACTGGTCCATGAACCGATAGTTAAAGACCAGTGATTTAGACCTTAAATATATATTCTGAAACATACTATTTTCTGCCGTTATGTATAAGAGTGTATATGAAGGCTTTTAAATGAAAAAGGATTATTTTAACATTCTTACATGCATCATATGAACTGTTTTAAGTAATTTGCAGCAATATTGACGTTCCATAGTTATTTTTAGCTTTGAGTATTTCCTCATATAAATTTATAAAATGTGCTGCTGATTTTTTTGTGTGTGTGTGTTTGTGTGTTCACTAGTTGTCTGCCTTGGTGAAACTTCCTTCTGGAGAGGATTACAATTTGAAACTCATGTTGCTTCATTCTATAGTTCCAGAACACAGCACATTTAGAGTACTTTCAACAAAGGTAAGGTATTTGGGTTGTCAGTGATATATACGTATATCCCTTATATCTGTTATCTGTTATCTGTTATATATATCTGTTATATATGCATATCTGTTACACATATATCTGGGGAGGGGTGTTTTGAACCATACATAGTGGTGCTCAGGACTTTCAGGGCTTACTCATTGCTCTGTGCTCAGGGATCACTCCTGCCAGTGCTCAGGGATCCTTTTTAGTGCTGGGGGATTGACCTGGGGTTGGCTGTATGCAAGGCAGCACCTCAACCCTAATACTATCTCTAACCCTCAGTAATATTTTCAGAATTTAGGAATATTGCTCACTTTACCCATGTGGTTCTAAACAAGTAACCTTTTGAGCACGGGTTCTTTTGATTTGAGGGAACAAATAAACATGATAACTTCTTTCACTGGTGTTTTTGGGATATACCTGGTGGTGCTCAGGGCTGCTTCCAGAACTGTAGAGGTAGGTGATCTGTGGTGGCACCGGGCAGTACGTGGGGAGTCATGCAGTGCCAGGAATCAAACCCAGGCTTCCTGACTGTGAAGCATGCATGACAGCCCTTTGAGCCTATCTCCCTGGCTCATGATGATAACTTTTGAAAACAGTTTCCTCTTTCATTGAGGTAATGTAGAATTTATTTAATGTGGAATTGTTGATTGAGTGATAAGGCAAAGAAGTATAGGTAGATTTGGGAGGGAACCAGATCAGAAAATTATGTTTTGCATTTTGTTCACATGTCTGTCAAGAATTTGTTAGTGTATATACTCTGGAAGTAATGAACATGAACTGATCTGTGTGAATAGATTGTAAATGGTTTGTATTACTGAGCCATCCCTGATACTTAACTAAGAATAGTGCTGTGGATTGGGAGATGACTCACAAGTTTGGAATGCATACTTTACGCATGGGGACCCTAGGTTTGATGCTCACTACTGCATACCCCCACTCTCAGCTTTCCGAGTGAAGCCCCAAAACTAGGAATAATGTGTGATAAATTCATAGGCCTAGAATTTAGGGTCTACCTATGTACTTTCATCCCTAATTGTTTGTTTTCCTTTAAATCTTGTGAATACTGGTTAATTATCATTTCCCAGTGCCCCTTGGTTCCTGATACCCCCTTTCCGCCTTTACATATCACATAGTACTTTTCTTTCTTGCACAGTGGTCAATATGCACATTTTAATTTCCTTTGGTTTTAGTCCTTTGAAGTGGGGCCACACTCAGTGGTGCAGGGGTCACTCCCAACAGTGTTCAGGAGACCATGTGCAGCGCTGGGGATCAAACACAGATCTATCCCAAGCAAAAAAACAGGGGGGGGGGGGGGGGGCGTTAATCCCTGTACTTTATTTCCAGTCCTACTTTTAGTTTTTTTGAGATCAAGAAGCGTGTCATGTTTGTGTCTTTGTACTTAAACATAGGGTTGCCAGATAAAAGTGTTCTTACCTAGTTAAAAACAAGTTTTAGTATAAGTAGAATCCACTTGCTAAATTGGGAAACACTCTACGTCACACACAATGGATGATCAGTAATTGTTCAGTGAATAATTTGAATTTGATGTTAGCTCCAATATAGTTGGCTGAGAACATACTTATATACTTAGTTTTACTTTTGAAAAGAAACTGAGACTTGCAGACTGAAAAAATGCTTTCCCCAAATTTCTAATTTGTTAAGCCAGCCTCGGGGGAAATACTTTGATTTCAATAAAGTGAGTGCTTTTTTGATTTTTCTAATTTTGGGTTAAAGAATTTATCTTCAAAGGATGTGTTCAGAAGAAGGATGCTTTTTTTCTTGTCCTAACCCAAAGAAATACATGTATGTTAGACAACCAACTTTTAAGCTGTATTTTATGAGAAAAAATTTTACTTGATTATATCTGAAAGTTTTTAATCCTTTTCATACAGTAGGGGGAGACAGTGCTAAAATAATGAAAATAAAATCTGAGAGTTACATGAGGAGGAAGCAGAAAAATAAGTTGCTTTTGATACATATTAAGCAGGAATACTTTCATAAATTAAGTGAAGGATGGTTTTTGCTCTGAATAACCTGCTTAAAATTGGAGGTAAAACAGAGGGCTTGAAAGGGTTTTTTGCTTTTGAGAATTCCATGTTTTCCACCTTCGATTAAATCAGTGTTGTAACTTTGTATGTGATCATTGCTTAAGTCTTATTAATGCAAGTGAAATATAATTTGTAACAAAAATTAGAGTAGGACCCTTAAGTAAATGAGAAATCAAATGAAAAAAGATGTCTTCTTTTTTCTCCCTTTCGCATAATCATTGATAACATATATTTCACAAAGTATTCACTTGAACTTAGCTTGATTGAAACTGAGACAGATCTAAAAAGGTGGTTAAGGGGTAAGAAGAAAGATTTTCCCAGTTTCCCCAACACTGGGGCAGGACCAGAGGATCTGGCCAGTACCTGTGATCCTCTGATGCTCGACTACTCAGGGATCTATGATGGGGGGTTGCTCCTGGCATTGCTTTGGCTAACCATGTGGTGTCCAGCATTGAGCTGGACTGGGATTGGCTGCAAATAACCAACCCCAGATAGTAAGTGTCTTAACCCCTGTACTTACTATCAAGTCCCTCGGTCCCCACCCCCATTCTTGAGATAGGAGGGAAGCAAGAAAGGAAAATGATTATAAAGGAATTGCTGAGGAAAACAAAGAATGCACTTTATTTTTTAATCTTTGTAAAGTTGTTCACAATAATTGATTACATTCAATACTCCAACACCATTCCCACCCCCATTATACCTTCCCACCACCATTATTTCAAATTTCCCACTACCACCTGAGCTGGCCCCCAAAGCCGGTCCTAAATAATTTATTTTGTATTGCTTATTATGAATAATTCACTAAAAATGATCCAAAGAAGTTTCCTTAGAGGAAAGTGTGTGAGGATTGTTGGCTGGAGCCATTAAGGAATGCACGTTAGAAACAAAACAATACCATTGGCATGCCATCACCTTCAGCTTGAGCACAGGGCTCATCTAAATTATTCCTGAACTTAGTAAAATGTATATTTCCTTTATAAATAAAGTCTTGGGTTGGAGAAATAGCTCAGCAGGTTGAAGTGTATGCTTGGTGTGCAGGGAGTCTGGGTTGGTTCCCCAGCACCTCATGGTCTGTTACAGATCTCTGCAAGCAAGCAGCCCCTGAGCTTGGAGCCTGGAGTATCTCCCTAGCAGTGTTGGTTATGATTCAAAAAATCCAAAACATGAAATATTAATGGTCACCTAATGACGAGGATTTAGGAGCTCCCACAAAATACAAAACTATATTGGATAGTCTTTCCCATTAATAGTGTTCCTGCTTTTCCAGCCTGTTCCTGTGACAGATACCCTCCCCCCAGTAAAGAAACTTTATTTCTTACTTCTAGACCACCCATTCCCCTGTGTTTTGTTTTGTTTTGTTTTGTTTTTGTTTTTGTTTGGAGATATCATACTTTTGGGTGCTCAGTACCAGCTTGGTGTCGTGTACCATCTCAGATTAAGCTCATGGCCTCACTCCTGCCCTTTGGGCATCTTCTGAGCCATTGAACCATTCTGTACTTCAGGGCCATTGCAGTTCCTGAGAACAGCACCAGGGCTTGAACTAAAAGCCTTGGTTGTGCTTGTCAGGCAAGTGTTCTAATCCATTGAGCCATTTCCTGGAACCTGATAGTGAATCGTTTTTTCCCTTTTAAATAACTAACAGAATTCATTGAACTATTGTTAACTTTCAAGTCTTGGGAAAAGATCTCTTCACTGTCAGCCTGTACCTGTAAGTGGATCTGTAACTTACCCACTAATTAGCAAGGTGTTGCCTGGATAGCTTGCTCCCGTGGCTTATCTTTAAATTTTTAATTCCTCTCATTGTAGAAAAACAGAACTGTGATAATAAACTATGAGATGGTGTCATATAGAAAGATATTGCAGACTTATAGCACAGTACAGAATCTTCTTAGTAACCTGTGAATACCACTGTAGACTATTGCAGTTCATTGAAAGCCTTTCCTCATGCTTCTGAGCAGCATTTAAGTGATCTGCCAAAGTTTAACCTTGGTCTCTGAATTATTTTTTGCTTGAAATAATAGAATAGCATTATTGGTTGCAGTGAAATTATCTGAAATTGGACTGGTGTTTATTCTAGAAAAGACTGGCCAGAATTAAAACTTTAAAACTTCTCTTTTAAAAATTTGCACAAGCGTTGAAAGTGAAATAGGCAAAAGGAATGCATAGAAAATTAATTAGCCTTTCCCTTTCAGAAAATAAGCTGCTATGAATGGCTTATTTGCAGCTATTTTAATGAATATATTAAGTGTAATTTCAAGTTCAGGTTAGAGTGATTCAGATGAAATAGGCTGTTTCCAAGAACTTGGACTTTGGCTTATGAAAAGGCCTCTGTGTGTGTATTTCACAGTTCTTCAGGGTTTAGTGGTTTCCAGGAGATGTATGTGCCATGCCACGGTGCTGCTCTTCAGGTGAAACAGGCAGGTCTTTATAGCCGCTTCAGCATTGGGACATGAGGTATGCACACAGGGTGCCTGTGTCTGATGTTAATCAAGAACAGTGTATATACACATGGCTTGTTAGGTTTTCTTTTCCAAATGAGTTAGAATTAAAGGAGCACATAACAGTATCGGGGTGTTATTAATAACCTTTTTCTAATGCTGTCATTGTCAGTTCCAGGATATCTCTCTTCCTTTAATAACTGTTTTTGAATAGTGATGACTTAACCAGAGTATTGTCACTTACTGTGTTTGAGAAAATACTGTTTTAATTTATAAAACTGTCAGTAGCTTACTTTGGAAAATACTAGAGGTTCTAAAAAAACATTTGTTCTTATTTCGAGGTGTTTTGTATTTTAGGCATTACACTCAGCTGTGCTCAAAGCTTACTTCTGACTCTGCCCTCAGGGATCACTCCCGATGGTGATGGTGCTCCGGGGACCATATTGGGTGCCGGGAATTGAACCCGGGTCGGCCGCATTGCAAGTGCCACTTGCCCCTAATGTATACATTCTAGTTAGGGCAGAATTTAGGCATATAAATTTCATGGAATTTTTTTTGATGCCAGGAGGTAGAAGAGGGGTTAAGGCAGTTAAATCCCTGTCTCTGTATATGGTCTCCCAGGTACAACATGAGTGATCCTTAAGTAGAGCCAGGAGTAAGCCCTGCGCACCACCCAGTGTGGCCCGAAAACAGTACAATCAGCTCCTGAGCACAGAGCTAGGAATAGTCCTTGAGCACCACTGGGTGTGGTCCAAACCTTGCTTTTCTTTACCCCAAAATTCACTGAGTGACCCCGCTAGAAACCTGCCCTCTTTAGTAAATTAACAGAAAGTAACCCAGTTGCCCCAGAGGTTACTACCACCCTCTTAAATTGTTTTAGTGCCCAAGCGGTGGTTGGGAAAACACTGGTATATATATGCTTTGAATGATAGCGTTTAAGTATAAATGTTCCAAAGCTCTTCATATTTAATCTTGTCCAATTAAGGAAACTGTCTTTAGGGACACTTAATTCTGATAGAATTTTGGCTTACAGAAAACTTGCAAATTGTCACTATGTATTTTACATTGAATAATGGATTTTGTTTGGTGTTTCCTCTAGATTGAAATTAAAATGAAAAAGCCAGAGGCTGTGAGATGGGAAAAGCTAGAGGGGCAAGGAGATGATGTGCCTAAGCCAAAACAGTTCACAGCAGGTTTGTTTCCTGGCATTGATGAGTTTTAAATTTCATGTTGTTTTTATGTATTTAAAATTAAACAGAACAGAGCATCTGCTTTCATTATTTATGTTCCCAGGAGATGATCAGACGATGACTATAGTAAGTTTGTGATGAACACAAAATAGCCTTATAACATTTCTAACTTGGTGTGTGTGTGTGTGTGTGTGTGTGTGTGTTTTGCTGGGGAAGGAACCCTGGCCTCACAACCTCACAAATAGGAGGCATGTGCTTCACCACTGAGCCTTACCCCTGGCCATTTAAACTCTTCAGAATAGGAATGAGGGGCTGGAGAGAAAGTACAGCAGGTAAGGTGCTTGTCTTGCACACAGCTGATCCAAGTTCGATTCCCAGTACCCCAGCTGGTCCCCCAAGCCCCACCAGAAGTGTTTCCTGAGCACTGCTGGATGTGGCCCAAACCCCCACTATACTCCTCAGAAGAAAAAAAAAAGGAATAGAAATGAATGGCAATAAAAACCCCATATTTAGGATTTATTCTTGCTTTGTAGGTTTTTGGCATTTGTTGAACAGTTTTTGTGTGTTGGTCTTAACTGCTCCTTTTAGGGTTTGCTGCAGGTTCTGACTGACTCGTTTCGTTCCCTTCTCTCTCCTGTCTTTTGTTTTTCTTACTGATAATGTCATCTGTAATTTTCTGGAATTTCAGAGCTTCACAGAGTAAAATTTCTAGCTAGGTTGTTTATTTAGAAGTGGACACAAATAGATAATGAGAACCTAGCAAAAATGGAGTAGAAAATCGGATTGATCGTTTAACCGTTTAGGGGACGTACCACTTCCTTGGGGCCAATTCTAGTATATGAAATAGGCAGATTGCTTGGTCACACCTGACCTTGGTAAGGGGTGAGCAGAGGGATGTCACTGCTGGGCACCGTGTTTGGTGCTAGAGGCCCAGCTGAATTCAGCTGCTTGGAAGGCAGGAACCTTAACCCCAGTACTATCTCTTTGGTTTAGGCAGTTGATTTTTTTTGTTTGGTTTTTGGTCAGTGGTCAGGGTTTACACTTGTCTCTGTGCTCGGGATCACTCTTGGAGGAGTTCAGTGGGGCCATCTGTGGTGCTGAACCTTGAACCTGGTCGCCACTTGCAAGGCAAGTGCTGTACCCACTGTACTACCACTTTAGCCCTAAGGCAGGTCATTTTATTTATCTACTTATTTTATTGAATCACTGTAAATTTTATTTTGCCATATTAATCTGCTGAGCAGTTTTAGAACTGCAGCGTAAGACTTTTATAGCAAGGACCTCATTTGTGAATGAAGAGAGGGTTTTTTTTTTCTTCTTCTTTTTGGGTCATACCCGGTGATACACAAGGGTTACTCCTGGCTCATGCACTCAGGAATTACTCCTGGCGGTGCTCAGGGGGACCATATGGGATGCTGGGAATCAAACTCAGGTTGGCCGCGTAAAAGGCAAATGCCCTACCTGCTGTGCTATCACTCCAGCCCCAAGAGTTCTGTCTTACTGCAGTTAATGTTCCCATCACTGAAATGAGATACTATGTTTTGGCTGTTTTTATTGCATTGCTTTTTTTGGTAACAAAAAATTTATGAAATCTTGTGAGTTTTTTAGTAAACTCTGAAAATTGGTCAGCAGATTATTCATTCTTGTTTCTTATTTTGAAATAATTTTAGATTCTCTAAGAATTTGGAAATAGGAGTTCTCTTGTGCCCTTCACCCAACTTGTTTATATGATAGCATAACTGTTATATAGTTTCTTATTAGAAAAACTAGGAAACTTAAAGTAATAGGTAGTTTTATTGATTGAAATATTTGAGTTGCATCTGCCTCACAGGAATTGGGAGGGGTGGGAGGTGGGGTTCTATTGGGGTTCACGGTTAAAAATAAGTATTGGTAAAGGGAAATGTGTTTGACACTTACATGACTGAGACCTAAACCCGAAAGCTCTGTAACTTTTCCCACAGTGATTCAATAAAGAAATAAAATATTTAAAAAAAAAGAAAAAAGAAATATTTGAGTTGATTTTAAAGCTGTTACATATTCCCGTCATCCTTGACAGGGATAGCAAAGATGTTATGTGGTATTGGGGGGCTAACTCACAGAAATTTGGGGCTAGGTATACACACACCACAGAATTAAAAAAAATACACTTTAAATGTATTATGACAATTCTAACAACAGTGCTATATAATACAGTGCTATCATAATAGCACTATATAATAGCTCTGTATTTTTTCTGTTTTATAGGCTCAGATAGGTTAAAATAGCTTGCTCAAGGTAATTCTGCGGTTTTTATTGTATGGAACTAAATCCAGATTTCTTAGGAGTTGTTCTTATTCTTCTGTTAACTCCATGTGGATACTGTACTGTTGTATTTTCGGTAGAAAGTCTGCTGCCATGAGTGTCTGTGGTTAGTCTTAACAGTGAGAAACAGTGAAGCTGCCCATCTTTAAGTAGTTCTGTCATCTGCAGGTACTAGTTTTCTGGGATGAACATTATTTAGTGTGGTAGTGTCAAACTTTTAAAACTCGGTGCCGTGGATATTAAACATGCTGTTCCTCTTCTGCTTTAGTTATTATGCGTGTCAGATTCCTTTGTACTGCAAGCTGGAAACTTGCAGATAAGGGCAAGTAGCTTAAACTCTCTGGGCCACTTCTCTTATCTGTAAATTGGAGATGAGAATCTGTATCCTCATCCTTCTGGGGAGTCAGCATCAGGATTAATTAAACCCATATTTCCTAGGTTCTTCATTTACCGTAGCATGCAGTTTTTTAGCGTTGCTGGGAGAGGCTCTCAAGCGGTGCTCAGGAGGCCCCGGGCGGGGGCGGGTGAGTCCACTTGGAATTCTCTGCCGACAGAGCTGTCACTTCAGTGCAACACCCCAAGGAGGTGATACAACTTGGGCCCTGTGGTGCTGGGAATACCCTCCCCGGCGCTTCTGGGAGCCTGCAGGTCCACGCTTGGTGATGCTTGGGATGCTTGTACCAGGAACCCAACCTGGGAGGCATATGCTAGGCTGTGTGTGCCCTGACCACCACACTGTCTGCTGTCCTGTCTTTAGTTCTTTCCCATTCCGCCCCCCTCCTTTGGCTACTAGAGAAAACAAGAGAAAGTGCTTGTTGCTGGCCGAGGTTGGATAGAAGGAATTTGGAAAGCAGTATGGTGCCCTGCATAAAGCTGTATGGAGTGTGGCATTTTTTGTTTGCTCGTTTAGGAGGCTTGGGGAGAGGGCGGGCATGGATGGGAGAAAGTTTTAATTTATGGTGAAGAGAAAGGGTCAAAGCAAAATAAGTAGTTTCTCAGCTGTAGGCTTATAGAGAGGCAATAATGGAAGAGGGGTATTTAGAATCTGATTGCCTTAACGGAGAACATTTGAATTGTATTTCATTAAACTCTTTGAGTTAACACTGCCTAACATAGTAGCTGCTTGCCACATGCACTTGATGAACATTGAAACATAATTGATATTGCTAGGTTGACATGTGTTCACTGGATATATTCGGTGAAATAATTTTTTATTTATTTCTTGGGGCCATACCTGATAGTGCTCAGGGGACTATGCGGCGCTAAGCTCAAGCCTGGGGCTCCTTCTTGGAAAGTGTGCACTCTAAGCCTTTTGACCCATTCACTCCTTACCCCACCCCGAAGTAAAATCTATTATTAAACTGCATTTCACCTGTTTGCCTTTAATAAATGGCTGTTCAAATTTTTTTTTTTAAATGCGGTTCATATTTGCACCTTGTATTATATTTCCTTTGGAAAGTGAATTGCTGTTACAGCTTTTAGGTTATTTTTGTTGTTATCTAGGTTTCTGGGCTGCAGCTGGCTCGGTTTTGGGGTCACTCCTCATAGCGCTTGAGAGACCATCTCTAGTGCCAGGGACTGAACCAGGATTAGCCACATGCAAGACAAGAGCCTTAACTCCTATTTTATTTCTCCGGCCCTTTTATTTATTTGTTTGTTTGTTTCCTCTCAGCTCCTTTTTAATTATTAGTGTATGAATACGATTTTGATTTCCTTGGTCTTTGGGGCAGCCTTGACTGTGCTTAGGCGTTTTCAGTCAGCTGTGATCTTTCTGATCAGTGCTCTAGTTGCCCCCAGTGGGACCTTCAGACACTGTTTTCTATTTCAGTGTGACATGGGTATTGAACTCTAGATCATGACATGTGGAATGTTTGAATATTCAGACTTTTTTTTTTCCTCCAAGTGCCTTTTTTGTTTTGTTTTGGGGGGATAGTTCTTGTGGTACTCTGGGACTGCTCCTGACTGTGCTATAGGAACTGTGTGATGTTGGTGATTGAACCCAGGCAGCTCACATGCAAGAGTATCACTCAGCCCTTCTTAGCTGTCTCTTGCCCTGCAATTTCTGTTCGGAGTAATTGGCTTTTTTATTATATATTTTTTTCTTTTTTCCTTTGACTTTAGGCTACAACTAGCATTTCTCATAGGCTCTGTGCTCAGGTCCCCTTCAGGGGACCATCTGTGGTGCCAGGAATCAGAATGGCTGACCTAACCTGTCCTTTCTTTCTGCCCTAGTCGATTTTTAGTGTAGGAGTGAATGAAGTTTTGATTTACAATCATGGCATAAGTAGTTACAAATTTATTTTATCTTTAAGATACATAAGTACTTCAGGAAAAAAAATTTTTTGGGGGGGGTCATACCTGGCGATGCACAGGGGTTACTCCTGGCTCTGCACTCAGTAATTATCCCTGGTGGTGCTCATGGGACCATATGGGATGCTGGGAATCGAACCCTGGTGGGCCGCGTGCAAGGCAAGCGCCCTACCCGCTGTGCTATTGCTCCAGCCCTCCCAGAAAAAAATGTTTTAAATATGTTATATAAAACCTTGAGTTTATGGGGCTGAAGAGCTAGTACAATGGGTAGGGGTTTTGTCTTGAACACAGCCAACCTGGATTCATCCCCAGGTGATCCTCCAAACCCCGCCAGGAATGATCCCTGAGCAAAGCTTGAAGAGAACTCTGAGTACCACTAGGTGTGGTGCAGAATCCAAAAATAAATAGATAAACCTAGAATTTATAAGAGAAAAATTTGAGGAAGTATCTTTTTTAAATACCCTTCAGTTTTTAGAATTGATTAGACTATGTTTGCAACTTTCCCATAAATTAAAGTTACTTTTTGTGTTTTGATTCAGTTTTCCCTTTTATTAAAATGATAATCTGTTTTTAATACAATTTTGTATAATGTACCAAAGGTTTATACTTTGAGTTATTTTGCTCTGAGGACATTCCCAGATTTTACATTATGCAGACTGATTCAGTTTTTGAAGTAAAAATCAAATTACTGATGTATATACCAGAAAGACATTTATTGTAAATATAAAATTCAGTGATCTGAATTATTTGCTAAGATGTTCTTACACAATATGACTATAGTGTGTGCATAATCTTGACACAGCTTGATTAATCACTTCTCTCTCTTTCACTCCATAGATGTAAAGAACCAGTATCCATCATCATCTCATTATACAAGAAATTGGGATAAATTGGTTGGTGAGATTAAAGAAGAAGAAAAAAATGAGAAATTGGAGGGGGACGCCGCTCTAAACAAATTATTTCAGCAAATCTATTCAGATGGTTCTGATGAAGTGAAACGTGCCATGAACAAATCATTTGTAAGAACATTAAACTTTAAAACTAAATACTGTGATAGTAAATTTCAGAAATAAAAAAGATTTGGTAAATTAATAACAAAAAATATCACACAGTAGTTGGGAGACCTTTTGCAATAGGGTTTTGTCTTAAAATTTCTTCTTCAGTGTAGAGTAAGTGGAAACTTGAGAAAAGAAATAGGTAGTTTATTTTTATTTTGGGGGCTTTAGGGCTTCCCCAGTGGTGCTTGGGTGATATTCCTAGTTCTATGCTTACGAGTGCCCTGGCTATGCTCAGGGGACCTTATACTGTGCTGGGGCTCAAACTCTTGTGTACTATCTCTGGTCCAAGAGACAAGTCATATGTTACAAATGAATGGGTTTTTTTGTTTGTTTTTCTGTTTGTTTGTTTTTTATGATTGAGCTGGAGCTTGTAAGATCTCAGAAATACCAAGATTACAGTGGATAATAGAGAATTATGCAAATGTCAGAGTAGGGGGAAAGACTTCCATTGTTTGCTTTCTAGAATTACACAGTCTCATTGTTAGAGATAAAAATGTGACTTATTTTTGGGGACTAGGGGCCATAGCCCATGGTACTGGCTCTGTGCTTAGGGCTCAGCCCTCGTGGTCCTTGGGTAGGGAGGGGGGGTTACCTGGGGGACACAGCCATCACCGTGTGGTGCCAGAGATTGATTAGGCTAGGGTAGGCTACAGGCAAAGCAGGTGCTTTTTCGGACTACAGAGATGCAGAATGTAAGGGAAACTTAAATAGAGCAGGTTGAAGGTATATGTTAATTATTCACTGGTATGTGTTTTGGGGGGGGTCACACCTGGCTTTTCTCAGGGCTTTCTCTTAGCTCTGTGCTTAGGGATCATTTGGGTTGTACTCGGGGTACCATTTTTGGTGGCCAGGGATTGAGCCTTTGGCAGCCATATGCAGGGCAAACGCTTTATACACTCTCTCCAGTCTTATTTTGTTTGTTCTTAATTTTTTTTTAATTAAGAAATTTTAGACTTCCCTAGGATAGGTTTACCTCAAATTATGAGCTTTTTATTTTTTATTTTAATTAATTAATTTTGCTTTTTGGGTCACGCCCGGTGATGCTCAGGGGTTACTCCTGGCTCTGCACTCAGGAATCACTCCTGGCGGTGCTCAGGGGACCGTGTGGGATGCTGGGAATCGAACCCGGGTTGGCCACTTGTAAGGCAAACACCCTACCCGCTGTGCTATCACTCCAGCCACGAACTTTATTTTTTTACTTTTGGCCACACCCAGTTGGTTTTAGAGTTTACTCCTGACTGTATTCGGAGATCACTAATGGCAGTCTCAGAGAATCTCGTGGGAGTAGTGGGGGTCAAACCCAGGTTGGCTGTATACATGGCAAACGCCTTATCTGTTTCTTTTTCTCGGGCCTTAAATTACGAGCTTTTTTTTTTTTTTTTTTTTTCCCTCTTTTGGGTCGCACCTGGCAATGCATAGGAGTTACTCCTGGCTCTGCACTCAGGAATCACTCCTGGTGGTGCTGGGGACCATATGGGATGCTGGAAATCGAATCCAGGTTGGCCACATGTGAGGCAAACTCCCTTTCCACTGTGCTATCACTCCAGCCCCTTAAATTATGAACTTTTAATAACAAATGTTAAGAACTTTTTATAGATTTATTTTGCATAAAGATAGGATAGTTTCACTTTGACCATTAAAAGTTCATGTTCATTTTAAGGCATTCTTATTTATAGATATTTAAAACAATATTCTGTGATTAGATTTGGGGTGAGATTTCCGCAGGCCAAAGCTCATGCTTTGTGTGTAGGAGGCCTTAGTTCCGTCCTGGGAGCACATGATTTCCGGACACAGAGTTGGGAGTAGCCCTGAGCACTGCTAGGGTATTAACCAAAACCCCAAACTAATAGTCATTAAAGTAATTGTGAATGTCTTGAGACTCAAGTTTCCACAGAAGTTGCACAATAGTAACTGGTTGTAATTGTGCCTTTTACTACTAAAGGAAAATAAAAGTTTTTGGATGTGAGACTGGACCCAGTAGTAACATATGGCCAGCAGGGCCAGTCTGGGGGTGCTGGGGGTCAGCGCAAGTCAGGATCTTGCTTATATCACTGGCCCCTAGAAATAAAAAAAAAAATTAAACTTACTTTGAGATTATTGCAGGTTTACATGAAGTTGTAAGAAATGATGCGGAGAGACCCTTTATAGCATCACATTCCCCTGTGGAAACATTTTGAAAAACTATAGTGTAATATCACTACCATAATATTGACAGCTAAGATACAGAACATTTCTGTTTCTGGGATGGAGTCCCTCGTGGTTGGGACGAACACCACAGGAATCCCTTGCTGTTGTAATTTTATTGCTATACCTACTTTCTTTCCATCTGGCAAGTGTTGGTTAGATACGTGGTTTGCAAGTATTTTCTTTCAGCTTGCAGTTTCTCTTTTCCCCTTTTTAAATTCAGTGCTGGGGATCTTCACTGTGAAGTATGCTGCACTGAACCATGTACTTGACCCTGTTTACCTTCATAGGTCTGGAGCGATAGCACAGCGGTAGGGCGTTTGCCTTGCACGCAGCCAACATGGCCGACCCGAGTTCAATTCCTCCGCCCCTCTCGGAGAGCCCGGCAAGCTACCGAGAGTATCTCGCCCGCTCGGCAAGCCACCCGTGATGTATTCGATATGCCAAACACAGTAACAAGTCTCACGATGGAGACATTACTGGGCCCGCTCGAGCAAATCGATGAACAACGGGAGGATCGTGACCATTTACCTTCATAATTTTTTCTAATTTGGGGACTATACCTGACAGTGCTTGGGATCACTCTGCGGTGCTCAGGGACCATGCAGTGCTGGGATTGAACCCAAATATAGTTTTTTGCAGAGCCAAAGGATTTCATTTCAATTTTTATAGTCCTGCTTTAGGTGTCAAGTGTTAACTCTTGGTCTGATACCATATGTCACCAAATTTCTCTTGTGTTGGCTTTCTACATTTAAGTATTTAAATTCATGATTTTGTGTGTGTGGAACAGTATTTTTTTATTAAATGAAACTTGCTTAGAAAGAGGTGAGAAAAAAAGAAGAAATGTGTTTGAGAGAACACAGCCTTCTCCAGAGTAGAAATAGTAAGCAAAGAAGCAGACTAGTAAGCAAGATACATATTCAGCGGAGGTCACAGGCTCAAAGGGCAAGCTCATGATCCATTTTTCAAATTTTTTTAACATTTTTGTTTATGTATATCCAGATGCTTTGGATATATCGTTTATTGAGTTATCTTTCCCACATTGAATTGCTTTTCACCTTTCTCAAATGTTATTTGAGCACATCTTGTGAGTCTGTTACTTTCATTACTACCAACAGTTTCTGCTAGCTTGGTAGCTGGATAAGTCTTGAAATTGGGTAGAATCATTCCTCCTAAATTTCTTCATTTCAAAATTGTTTCATCCTGGTTTCATAGTCATTCCATATAAGGAAAATAGGGTATTTTGTCTGTATTTACAAAAGGTGTTAGAATTGTGCTGAATTTTATCTGTTTGGGGAAAATAATACTTTTTTTTTTTTTTTTTTTTTTATTGAATCACTGTGGGAAAGGTTACAAAGCTTTCAGGTTTATGTCTCAGTCATGCAAATATCAAACACATTTCCCTTTACCAATACTTATTTTTTCCCATGAAGAACCCCAATAAAACCCCACCCCCCACCCCTCCCCGTCCCTGTGAGGCAGATGAATTCTAGTTAACACTCTATCCGCTTTGATTAGATTGTTTCAATAAAAGATTCACCACTATTATTTAGAGTTTACCCCCCCCCCCCCCAAATCAGACATGCTGAAAAAGCATTGTGAAGTGATTTGCTTTCTCCAGCTGGGTTCAAGAATTAAATGTTGGTTTTGGATTTCTGCTATTTTACTTATTGACCCTGGAAGTATTTCTACTGAAAGTCAGATAGTTAAGAAATTGGTTTCTGTGTTCTGGAGTCGTGGCCGTGCTGGAGAGCCGCTCGTGGGGGGCAACTGGTGGCCTCGGTAGGGCGTGAAGGGCGGAGCGAAACGCCCCCCTTCCCATGAGGTTTTAGTTGCCCCCACACTCCCGGCTCGTACCTGCTGTCCACAAGGCTCCCATGTGGCCGCCATCTTTCTTTCCAGAGAGGAGAGGGCGAATGGGGCAACACCCTTTCCCCTCCGGCAGACTTGATGGGCTGGATCAACGCATAGTCCATTCACTTTTCTGCTCCAAGCTGCTGGGTTCTGCATTAAGTCCTTGTGCTTCTGGGGCCATGGCCGTGCTGGAGAGCCGCTCGTGGGGGGCAACTGGTGACCTCGGTAGGGCGTGAAGGACGGACCGGAACGCCCCCCAACCCATGAGGTTTTAGTCGCCCCCACTCCCCCGGCTCATACCTGCTGTCCACAAGGCTCCCATGTGGCTGCCATCTTTCTTTCCAGAGAGGAGAGGGCGAATGGGGCAACACCCTTTCCCCTCCGGCAGACTTGATGGCCTGGATCAATGCATAGTCCGTTCACTTTTCTGCTCCAAGCTGCTGGGTTCTGCATTAAGTCCTTGTGCTTCTGGGGCCGTGGCTGTGCTGGAGAGCCGCTCGTGGGGGGCGACTGGTGACCTCGGTAGGGCGTGAAGGACGGACCGGAACGCCCCCCTTCCCATGAAGTTTTAGTCGCCCCCACACCCCCGGCTCATACCTGCTGTCCACAAGGCTCCCATGTGGCCGCCGTCTTTCTTTCCAGAGGGAGGAAGGCGGAAGGGAGCAACACCCTTTCCCCTCTGGGCAGAAATGATTGCCTGGATTAACGCATAGTCCTTTCACTTTTCTGCTCCAAGCTGCTGGGTTCTGCATTAAGCCCTTGTGCTTCTGGGGCTGTGGCCGTGCTGGAGAGCCGCTCGTGGGGGGCAACTGGTGACCTCGGTAGGGCGTGAAGGACGGACCGGAACGCCCCCCTTCCCATGAGGTTTTAGTCGCCCCCACACCCCCGGCTCATACCTGCTGTCCACAAGGCTCCCATGTGGCCGCCATCTTTCTTTCCAGAGAGGAGAGGGCGAATGGGGCAACACCCTTTCCCCTCCGGCAGACTTGATGGCCTGGGTCAATGCATAGTCCGTTCACTTTTCTGCTCCAAGCTGCTGGGTTCTGCATTAAGTCCTTGTGCTTCTGGGGCCGTGGCTGTGCTGGAGAGCCGCTCGTGGGGGGCGACTGGTGACCTCGGTAGGGCGTGAAGGACGGACCGGAACGCCCCCCTTCCCATGAGGTTTTAGTCGCCCCCACACCCCCGGCTCATACCTGCTGTCCACAAGGCTCCCATGTGGCCGCCATCTTTCTTTCCAGAGGGAGGAGGGCGGAAGGGAGCAACACCCTTTCCCCTCTGGGCAGAAATGATTGCCTGGATTAACGCATAGTCCTTTCACTTTTCTGCTCCAAGCTGCTGGGTTCTGCATTAAGCCCTTGTGCTTCTGGGGCTGTGGCCGTGCTGGAGAGCCGCTCGTGGGGGGCAACTGGTGACCTCGGTAGGGCGTGAAGGACGGACCGGAACGCCCCCCTTCCCATGAGGTTTTAGTCGCCCCCACACCCCCGGCTCATACCTGCTGTCCACAAGGCTCCCATGCGGCCGCCATCCTTCTTTCCAGAGAAGAGAGGGCGAATGGGGCAACACCCTTTCCCCTCCGGCAGACTTGATGGCCTGGATTAACGCATAGTCCTTTCACTTTTCTGCTCTAAGCTGCTGGGTTCTGCATTAAGTCCTTGTGTTTCTGGGGCTGTGGCCGTGCTCCAAACTTAACTCTGACTTTCAGGGAGAAAGATTGGGTGGTTTACTTCTCATTGATCACTTTGTATATAGAGAGATGTCGCGCGGCCGCATAAGCGGCCGCGCGGTTTTGAGAAAAAGTCCTCGTTCCCGCATACTCGAGCTGTGTTTGTAGAGGCTTCTGGTCACCGGGGTTCCATCTGGGGGAGGCGAGATGCGGCGCCTACTCCATCTGGAACTTGCGGGTGAACTTGGCTCTTTTTGGAACCTGTTTTTTCTTTTTTTTTTTTCCTCCGGGATCCCGCACTCTCCATGTGTTCTTTCTCTTCAAATAATACTTTTTAAATGAATTTTTTCCATTTATTTGGATCATTTTGATTTCTTTTTATAGCAGTTTACAGTTTTCAAGCACATACATTTTGTATGTTTTGCTGAATACACTCAAATATTGGAATCATCCTCTTTTTTCTTTCTTCTGGTTTGAGGGCTTTGACCGGTGCGACCCCGAGGCTGCTCTGGGCTCTGTGTTTGGGTGCTGTTCTTGGCAGTACCTGAGAGAACAGGTGGTGCCAGGGATCCACCCCACGCCCCACCTTGGAGTGAAGCAAGTGTGCCAGTCTCTTGAGCTGTCTCTTGATCCCCTGAACTTTGTTTTATGTTGTCTTTTTGGGCCACACCAGCTGTGCTCAGTTCTTACTCCTGGCTCTGTACTTGGGGATCACTTTTGGTAAGGTTTCCGGGTGAGGTTTTCGGGTGATCAAGCCCAAGTCGGTTATTTGCAAGGCGAGTGCCCTATCAACTGTACTCTGGCACCTGAACTTTTAAAGTGTCATAAATGAGTACTATACATTTAGTTTTAGTTTTGGTGTTGCCTGATTTTTTTTTTCTTTTTTTTTTTTTTTGCTTTTTGAGTCACACCTGGCAGTGCTCAGGGGTTACTCCTGGCTCTGCATTCAGGAATTACTCCTGGTGGTGCTTGGGGGACCATATGGGATGCTGGGAATCAAACCCGGGTTGGCCGCTTGCAAGGCAAATGCCCTACCCACTGTGCTATCGTTCCAGTCCGATTTTTTTTTTTATAGAAAATTTGTTTAATATGATAGGATCTTGTTTTATTTGATATGACTGTGTGGAGTATCAAGTTCTAGGAGAATTTTTGGTAGATTCCATGTGATATTTTCTGCAGTTACACTGTTTCAATAGGAACAGTTTTATTTATGCCCTTTCACACCTATAATCTGCTTTTCTTGCTCAGTTTCCCTTCTGAGGACATCTAGCTCTTTGTGGCTTAAGAGTGGTAATAATGGACTTTATTCCCATCTTCAGGAAAACTAGTCAGTATTTGACTATATTTGCTGTGGGTTTTTTGGTAGATGCATCATCAAGTTAAATTCTAGTACTATCTAAGATGTTTGGCATTAGTGGCTATTGACTTAGTAAATGCTTTTTTTCTGCATCGATATATATATATATATATATATATATGTATATGTATACGTATACACACACACACACTTTTTTTTTTGTCATACCTAGCAGTGCCCAGGGGTTACGGGGTTACCCCCGGCTCTGCACTCAGGAATTACTCCTGGCACTGGTTGGGGGACCAGATGGTATGAAGGGACTGAACACGGATCTGTTCAGTACTAGACAAGTGTCCTACCGACTGTACTGTCTCTTCAGCTCCATCATTGATTAATATGACTTTTTAATTATTAAGTTTGCATCTCCGAATAAATTCCATTTGATCGTGGTATATAATTAAAAAATACATATTGCTTAATTCTATTTTTAGATACTTTAAGGATTTTTGTGTATTCATAAGAGATACTAATTTGTAGTATTTTTTTTAATGCTGCTTTGGTGTTAGGGTAGAACTAGTTTGCATAATGAATTGGGAAAGTGTTTGATGCTCTTCTAATTTTTAGATGAAATAATGGAGAATTGGTGTTGTCTTTAAGCAGGTTGTTTTGTTGTTTGCTGGTTTTTCTGCTTTTGACCACACAGTGGTGCTCAGGGGTTATTCCTGACTCTGCTTGGGGTTTATCTGTCAGTGCTGGAGGGACTAGGATATGTAACAAGGTTGGAGAGAGTGTAGGAGTTAAACGCTCATGTCTTTACCTGCAGCCGGCCTGGTTTGATCCCTAGCACCACATGGTCTCTGAGCATCTGCCAGGTGGCTCAGACTGTCCCCAGCACCCGAGAAATACCGTATCCTCAGATTCTTACATCACACCACCCATCTGATTGTCAGAATCACCAGGAAGGTCTCCAAGCCTCCTGACAGCTACTTGGGAGATTCCCCCCACCCCCGAAAGTAAAAGCAAGCGTTGCCAGAAACATACTGAATTCATTGCGCAGTTGTGAATTAGTTTTTGGTCATTGCTCATTAAGAAACCTTTTATTATGCCCCAGTTTTCCTAACCTCCCCACATTTCAGGCCCCTGACATCGGGTCGCTTGCATGAGATGATATCCAACAGATTTTAAGAAGCTAAGCATTATATGAAAGTGTATATGAACATGCTGCTCCTAAGTTCCCTCTAGAATTTCCTTTTCAGATGGTACAGAACATAGAAGCTTCTTTCTAGGAAGCATACATTTAAATAAAATTGACTTGAATTTATATCAACTCTGGGGCTGGGGAGCGTACAGTGCATAGGGCATTTATTTGCCTTGCTTTGGTCCCTGGCACTCTGTGTGGTCCTCTCAGCCCCACCAGGAATGACCCCTGAGTGCAGGGCCAGGAGTAAATCTTGAGCATCCCCAGGTGCAGCCCCAAAGCAAAACGAAACCAGAAAAGTTTTATATTGGGTCAATGTTAGCTTAATTTGGAACTTGGTACTTGGAATATTTTTTAGAAAAATACTTAATTTTGATTGTATAGTTGAAGAGTTAACCTATTTTTATTTTTTATTGCAGATGGAGTCTGGTGGTACAGTTTTGAGTACCAACTGGTCTGATGTAGGTAAAAGGAAAGTTGAAATTAATCCTCCTGATGATATGGAATGGAAAAAGTACTAAATAAATTAATTTGATATCACTGTATTGCATACATTCACCTAATGCCCATTGTGTATTAATATCGCATTCTTGGATTTTGAACACTGAGTATCTTTTTGAAAGATTATATTTCTCTTTACCTCTTTGTGCTTTAGAAATTATTTTCCTTCAAGTGTTTTAATTAAGAGCCTAAATGAAGAAAGAAGATCTTATTTTATCACTTTGTCCATAAGGGTTACAGACATGCTGAAATGTTATGAAGAAATATTAGCTACTAGATAGATTAGTTCTACCTAGTTGTGGGAGAAGAGGTATCATTAAATCAGAATCTCGGGGTTATTGCCTTATTTTTGGTGCAGTATTCTGTTAATAATTTTTTAGACTTGGCAACTTTGGGTGAATATCAGATTTTTTTTCAGCTTCAGCATTTGCTTTTTCAAACTGATTTTGAATGGAGTTGTAAATACAATTTTTCAATGAAGACGTTTTATTTATCATTTCCTTAAGTTTTATGGAAAACTTTGAGAAATTATCACAAAATTCTCATTTGGTTCTTTTTATAAGAAATATTTGTATTTGCCCTGAGATTTAGATCCCTAACTCCAGATTCCTCTATAGAACACACGAGTTTCACGTGCCACAAATCCTTTTGAAGGTTAATCTGAGAAATTGGGCCAGAGTAGGTTCGGAAATTTCAAGTTCACTTTTTGGACTTTTTATCCTAGCCAGGGTTTTTTAAACAAACAAAAAAATTGCACTAGTTTGATTTGGTTTGGTTTTCATTTTCTTGGATTTTTTTTCTCATCATTAGAAAATCTTTCCTCACTCATGATTGCTTCAGTTTCCTTTGAAGTGTGCTGCTGAAAGAGTAAACATGTATATATTTAGTATCTATAATAGATACCATGGGATATAAAAACTAAAAGGCTTGAGCATTAGCTTCAAAGAGCTTATTCACAGGCAGAGAAAGTCAATATCCACAGAGGAATTATGCAATGGTTAAATGCCGAACTTGTTTCCTGTTTTAAAACCGAAGGAAAAGGTCTTACCTGGTTAAAATTCTTTTCTGTCTCTTTATTATAAAGCATAGGCCATGGATGACCTGTAATTCTGACTTAAAATTTTCTGACCATAATTGTTGAATCACAATGCCCTGGAGCAGCCATCTGGTCCCCTATGGGCTCCCGGGGTATTCCTAGGGGAAGTGGGAGGTGGGGGTGGGGGACACGGGAAGGAAGCAAGGTCGGGAGAGGTCGGTCGTGGGGAAAGGTAGAGAAGTGCTGCTCTTACACACTCGCTCGAGTCATTAGGCCTCAGGTTTTGGGACAAGGCTCTCCACTCTGCCCTCCTAGTTGAGGACACTCTCAGTGTCAGTCAAATGGGTCACCACCCCAGCCCCCCGAGAGCAAGAATCCAAACCCATCTAGTCATTTGTAGAAGGAGTTTCGTCAGGAAAATGGTGATGGGATGCTACCAGATCACAGCCACATCTGTTGTTAAAACTTGTTTAAACTGGGGGGGTAGAGGGGAAAGGGGAGATGACAGGAGGGTTACATTGGTCCCCGCAAAGCTACTTCTTTTTTTCTTTTTTTTTAAATAATTTTTATTAGTGGAACACCATGAGGTACAGTTGTAGACTTACAAATTTTTGTGCTTGGGTTTCAGTTATACAGTGATCCAGTACCCATCCCTCCACCAGTGCCCATTCTCCATCATTTACATTTTTTTTTAAATTTTTGTTAGTGAAACACCATGAGGTACAGTTGTAGATTTACAAATTTTTTGTGCTTGGGTTTTAATTGTACAATGGTCAAACACCCATCCCTCCACCAGTTCCCATTTTCCACCACCACGGGTCCCAGTATCCCTCCCACCCCCATCCCCCCATCCCACCCTGCCTCTGTGGCAGGTCATTCCCTTTTGTTCTCTCTCTCCTTTTGGGTGTTGTGGTTTGCAAAAGAGGCATTGAGTGGCAGTCATGTTTGGTCTATAGTCTACTTTCTGCATGCTTCTCCCATCCTGAGAGGATCCTCCCAACACCCTTTACGCAAAGTTACTTCTTGGATAATTTTGTCTTGGGCGATGAGGGGAGCCACTGCCACCAACATTTCAGAAATCACCAGGATTACGTCTGACCATGCTCACGGCTGTCTTTGGTTCTCAAGCAACCAAAGGAAAAGGCAAAGTTAAGTTCTTGCTGGTGTGGACTGTTGAAATTTCTCCTTAGGGGCACAAGTGACTTGTTTGTATTTGGTATATTAAATTTACTCAGCACAGTTACAACCAGGAATTTGGGAGCCTGCTGCCACAGAGCTGCTGAGTCAGGGCTCTGCATGCAACTCTATAGCAGAGGAAAGAAGGTGGTTGTGCAGTTGGGGCCACATCAGACAGTGCTCAGAGTCTCCTGGCTCTGTGCTGGGGTCACTTCCTGCAGTACTCAAGAGGACCGTGCAGTACTGGGAATCAAAGGGACCCCTGTACATTTTTTAAAATACTTTGTTCCATACCTGGCAAGTTTGGATTCATACCCAGTGCTGCTTGGGACATCCTTCTGGCTCTGTGCTCAGGGAATCATTCCTGGTGGGGCTTCAGGGCCATATGGGGTACATGGGATTGAACCCAGGCCGGCCGCTTGCATGGTGTCTTATTGCTCTGGCCCCCATATGTTTGGGGAGTTTTGTTTTTTTAAAAAAATCTAGCACTCTCTTTTAGAGGCTACATTATCTAACATCTACTGCTAGATAAGCATGGTTTAGGTAATTTTCTTAATGCTGTGAAATGCAGGATTTTGCTGAGCCAAATGGAGTTCCTGGTATAGTTTTATAAAATGAATCTGGTGTAAGTACAATTTATCGGTAGAGAGGGAATTTCAAGAAGTTAGACTGCCCGAAAGTCTAGCTGTAATATCTCTTTGACCATCGGGGTCCAAGTGAGGGCTTGGCCACGTGCCTTGCATGCAGGAGGCCTCAGTTTCTTTCCGGGCACCACCACCTACTCTGGCTGAGGCCCAGAGGAGGGCTTGAGCACTGCCAGGTGTGGCCCCAAACACAGTAACAAAACTTCATGGAGAGATAGCTGAAGTGGTAGGCCTTGTTCCTGGCCCTGAGTTCAATCACTGTCACCAAAATGCCACCGTCTTGCAGCTCTTCAGTGTGGCTCTCCTGGACCCTGTTAAAAGCAGGGTCATGCGGCAGCACAGTGGGGTAGGGCGCTTGACTTGCACATGGGTTTGCTCTCTGTCACCCATATGGTCCCCTGAACTCACCAGGAATGATTCCTGAGCCCAGAGCCAGGAGTGAGCCTTGAGCACTGCTGGGTGTGGCCCCAAAACCAAAACAAAAGAAATTGGGCCATTGAAGCAACCCAGCAACCAGGGTGCTTTCCTGGCACACGCTTGACCAGGTTTCATCTCCAGCATCTCCTGTGGCCCCGGAGTCTTGCCATGAGTGATCCTTGAGTGCAGAGCCAGGAGGAAGCCTTAAGCACAGCTGTGTGTGCCCCCAGCCTCCCCCTCAAAAGAAAAGCAACTTTATTCTAATGAAGAGCCTCTTAACACTTTTTCCCCTTCTACTTTAGTTGGTCTTTTCATGTGGTCTGTCTGGGTTTTTTGGGGAGTGGGGTCACTGATAACCTTGCTTAGAACCTCCTCCTGGTGGGTTGCTCAGCTGTTGATCCTGTGGTACTGGGGACCATGTGGTGCCAAGGATTCTACCCTGTCTTCCATCATGGAAAGCACATACTTCCCTTGGAGCTCTCTTCCCCAGCTCTCTTTTTCTTTTTAGTCGTCTTTTTTTTTTTCATTTCTCAAATATTTGTCTTCATGCTCTAGTTAAACTTTGTATCTTCATAACACCTATCTTCCCCAGCCTCTGTTTATCTTTCCAGCAGTGCTGGGGGTCCAGTTACCCTTCCTGGTGAAACTGATGGTTTGGTGCTCAGGCATGCAGTGCTGGGTTGGGGTGTGGGGGAATATGGTAGTGCCAGCTCGGGGCTTGGGACATGCAAGGCATGTGCTCCAACGCTTCGAGTTAACTCCCTCTTGAAGTTCATCCTTTCTAAGATTTAGTACTGAATACTTTTTTAAAAAAATTTTATTTATCTGTTCTTTTTTTTAACCTTGATGACTTCTAGAATTCTCTCACTGTCTTCAAAGAATCTTCTAATGATTATCTGGTTCTTGAACTCTGCTACTTCATAATCACTGTAGGTGACTATACTATACTTTGAAACACTAGGGCCAATTTTAGTAACTTTTTTTTTCTTGTGCCTAATACTTATTGAGAATTGGTTGTAAACAAGTTCATTCTTCAAAATTGGCATTTACTACTAGTCACTTAAAACTGGAGGAGGGGGAGCTGGCAGATAACTCAAACCACAGGCCTCACATGCATAAGATCGGGGGCTTGTCTGGGGTGTGGTACCCTGAGCACTGACAATAATGACCTGGGACTCATTTTTTGGGAAAGACTTAAATATGAATGGTTATTTTAAAAGAAGGTTAAGGTAGGGGCTGAGAGATAGTTCAGTGGGTAGGCACTTGTCTTGCACCCAGATGATACAGGTGTGACCCCTGGATCCTTATAAGGTCCCCTGAGCATCACCAGTAGTGATTCCTGAGTGCAAGCCACTCTGAGCACTGCAGGGTATGGCCTAAAAACAAAACCAAAGTAAAAGGAAAGAAAAGTCAATTAAAATGAACTTGAGGGCCCAGATAGTACAGCAAGTAGGGCATATGGTCCCCTACACACTTCCAGGAGTAATTCCTGAGCACCACCAGGTGTGACCAAAAAGCAAACAACAACAACAAAAGTGAACTTGACAGCTTCTCCAAAGAGAATTGACCCTACCACATATTCTTACATACCTGAAGCACTGAGTGTGTGAATCTCTGGAACTGCAACAAAATAAAATTCTTCTCTTTGGTGGACTGAGGAGAAAGAATGGGTCTTTTTGATTTTTGGAGAGGACACAGCCACTGATGTCCTGGGGATTGAGCCCTGGGTTCCTGCGTGCCAAGCACATCACTGCCCTTTGAGCCATACTCTTGTCCTGAGAAAGGATGAGAGTCATTGGTGGCTGATTTTGAAAAAACTCTTTCCTTAGATTTGTAAGAATCAGTTACCTACAGAACATTGAATCATTCTCATTGCCTCTAGAGAGGCTGGGAAACTTTTTTTTTAATTTTCACTTTTTTGGGTCACACCTGGTGATGCACAGCGGTTACTCCTGGTTCATGTACTCAGGAATTACTCCTGACGGTGCTCAGGGGACCATGTGCGATGCTGGGAGTCGAACCTGGGTCAGCCTCATGCAAGGCAGACGCCCTCCTTGCTGTGCTGTTGCCCCA